TTATGTTGTGTTACAATAGAGTTGCTTTTTCACTGTACTTGTTGTAGTCGTTGTATATCGTTGATGTGTGCGTTATTTGATGCCACGTGCAGTTAAGGATGTGTCCTACGTCTATCGATATCGATATTACAATAATAAAATTGCTTTTAAACATCGAGACATTTATATCGGTGTGATTGTTTAGTATCGTTTATGAATTATATTTTGTATAGTTTTTTTAGATAAAAAATTAGAGAATTTTTACAAAAATATTTAATTCTTGTGTGTTAAGTTACTTCTAAGAAAATTTGGTTATTTCGTATTAGTAATTAATTTTCTTATAGATTTTATATATTTTATATTTGCTTTCTTAGAGTGCCTTCGAGCAAAAACTATCGATATTTCGATGTTTGGTACACCACTATTCGAAATACTACACTAATATCAACACATAAAATGGAAAGACTTGCATGTTTTTAATAGGTAACATTTTTATTTACTGATTTATTGAAATAAAACTCTTTGTTATGAACATTTTATTCCGTCAACAACAGTGTTATTCAAAGTCGTTGAATCAGACCCCATGGTGTTTGCGGCTGCTCGGGTTTAGGGGAAAATTTCGAGAAGTAAACCTGAGATTTCACTAGTAGATATCATATAAATATTATAATTGCGAAAGTTTCGATGGATGGATGTTTTTTAGGCGTTTGTAGCCTAAACGGATGAACGCATCTCCATGAAATTTGGCACAGGCTTAAAGCATAGTCTGGAAGAACACATATGCTACTTTTTATCCCGGGAATAGTTACGGATCCCGTGGGATTCATTGATTTTGTTTTTTAATGTTTACTCGATCATTCTACAACGGTTCAACATATTTTATTGAAATTTAGTACAGATATAAAACAAAGTCTGGAGTACACATGGGTTAATCCCCGAGAAATGTCCGGTTCCCTAGGGATACGTAGCTTTTTGTTATTTATATAGTTCGTAGGTTTTCTAATACCACGCGGACAAAGTCGCAGGCAACAGCTAGTCTACCATAAAGTGGAAACCAGAAACATTTTAGAAGGGATCTGCGTAGAAAGAGTTTTTAAATATCTGATCTACACAAAGGGTCTTTGTGTATATTGGTTGCTATCGGCACGGCCCTTGGAGACACCGCGGCCCCGTACTTCCGGCACGAGGTCACGTGTACCCGCGAATTCAGGTCACGAAAGCCTTACAAGTTAACTTCCTCCTAACCCACGTGTTAGATTTGGTTATCCGAGATTTTGCTGTGTCGAAATACTTCGAAAATTGTAACGGTTTTTTAAGAGAATTTGTGTGACGTTTTGTTCAATGGTTTTGGTAACTAATGCTTGAAAAAGATTATTTTGTTACTAATAAAGTCGATAAAAATCACACAAAATTATAAACATTAGGTAAAACTTAGTAATGAAATTAAAAATTATTAAATTTTACATGTTTTTTTATAAATTATAGTTACTTAATAACGACTAACGGTCGCCCGCGACTCCTACCGCGTGGAAATAAAAAAAAACAAATAGCCTATGTGTACTTCCAGACTATCTTCTACATCAATGCCAAATTTCATGGAGATCTGATCAGCAATTTAGACTACAAACTCTAACAAACAAACATACATCTTTCTAAACTTTTGCATTTATAAAATTAGTCTGATTAGTTGCACATCACTAGTAATGTTTACCTGACAGCTGTCAGAGCGCAATACATTTATGACAAATCCAATTTTCTCGTAAAATGTAATAAATAGGCTGAAGTTCTATTCAACACAATACTTGAAGCCATAGAATGGCATTCTTATCCGAATGTCTGAACATTTAGCTTAGCGAAATAAAATTATTTTCATAATTACGAAGGCCTATGTCCATTAGCTGCCATATTAAGGCTGATGATCATTGTGTTTCTACTACTAGCGATGATTACGTCAGCACAGAATGAAAATAGCCTACGTTAAGCTACATATAGTCTAGCCTAGTGCTGCGTTACTTGCGCCAACATCAGTAAAAGTCCCGTCAAAATCAGTCTACATGTGTCTGAGATTAACCAGAATAAAAGTGGATTTTCAGAAGGGCAAGACTGAATTTCAAAATCTATTTTTCGTTATTATTAATAGGTTGCTTCATCCCTTAGTATCGATTTGTCAAAATATATATACATTAAGGGACTTACTAAGGACTAACCAGTTAAGTCGAGTCTAGCACTTATACGAGATACGCTAAATGAACATTTTAAACAGCAATTTCTAGTACTCGAACATACAAAATTCATATATTGTTTACTGGTACCCATGCTAATATAATAGCACTAGCTGCTGCTCGCGACTTCGTCCGCGGGAAAATAAAAAAAAAATAATAAAAAAATTATAGTCTATATTACTCACAGATAAATTACCTTTCTAACGGTGAAAGAATTTTTAAAATCGATCCAGTAGTTTTTGAGATGGGGACATAAACCAGAAAGTGTTGAGATTGAGTGTGGATGGCTACAAAGGAAGAGGAAGACCGAAGAAAGTATGGATGGATTGTGTGAAAGAAGATATGCTTAAGAAAGGAGTGAATTCAGATATGACGGCTGATAGAGATGTATGGAAGAGCAGCACATACTGTGCCGACCCTCCATAAGGGATAAGGGCAAGTGGATGATGATCCAGTAGTTTTTGAGTTATTTCAATACATATAAAAATACAAATCTTTCCCCTTTTAATATTAGTATAGATGTATGAATGTATGAAGACCACGTCAAACGAAACTTCGTGATCTGGCTACCCCTTGTTATGAGCGTCAGTGTATCATAGATTTAATAGTTGGTATTAAATGTACGTAAGTACTGAAATTCAAGATGGCCGACCTCTTTGTCTGACTACGGCATTGCAACTGCACATGCGCACATCTTTTATGTACCTAGACTGAATCAATCTTGCACACCTGCATTTATATACTAGCGAGGAACAAGGGTGTGGCACGCATATATCATATCTTACTAATGTAAATGCGAAATGTAGATGTATGTTTGTTAGAGTTTGTAGCCTAAACTGCTGAACGGATCTGGATGAAATTTGGCATAGATATAGATGATAGTCTGGAAGAATACATAGGCTTATTCCCTTTTGTTATTTTTTAATTCCACACGGAAGGAGATGCGGGCGAAAGCTAGTTACAAATACATTAATTAAATCTTAAAACAATAAGTACTTTATTCGTAAAGCCATATCTAAGGCTATATTTTTAACTAGTACTTCGCTATCTTAGTTCCCGTATAGATTAACGAAATATGCATAACAGTTTGCTTTTAAAATGTCTAGTAAATTTTGTTATGTTATTAATTTTGAGTCAACCCAACCGTGAGAGATGTACATAAAAAGATTATTTCTACTATTTTTATTTATTTTCAAACACATTGTAGTTTTTATGTATGAAAAGATTAATTTCTAAGCGAAGCAATTAAATATAAAGAAACGTAGGAAAATTCCTCGACCCAGTATTCAGTAGAGTTCTCGACCCAAAAAGAGCTCGGACGCTATTTAAATTCAGATCAAACGTTGTTGCTAACCATTTAAAAATTCCGTTATTTTATAGGATTTTTATGAACTGATATCGGAACTGGTCACTGGCGAATTCTGCAGTTTATTTGTTCAAAACTTATGAAATAATAGTAATAACTAGTTATCGTTTGATAATACTAATAGCGCCATCTCTCGGTTATTATAGTCGTTGTTTTATTGTAAAAATTATTGTACCTTGAATGTCTCCAAGATGGCGTTGTTTGACAAATTTCAATCGATTTTTATGATGTAATTTCGTTATGGCCCATTATTTATTGTATATACTGTTCTTAACCATATTGTTGTTTCTATAAAACAGAAAGTACTATTAGCTCTCTATCTGTTAACTTGTGTAAAGGCCTTAAAACTACGTATATATTTTGCCACATAGATATCAGAGTACATAACCATTGCTATATATAACGGAGAGCTATGGCGGCGGGTAGGGGGGATAGCAGTCGGGGAAGAGGAGAGGGGAGGTAATCAATAACCCTGTCCTACTGCCCTATATAGGGCTCTGATGGTAACTGCTATATACGTTCGTTATCTTTTTTATCTATCGTATTCGTTCGTAAATTTATTTGAACAGCAATAATTCATTTATTGGTCATCTTTGTTAGAAAGATAAAAAATAATGCACAAAATGTCCGTTATTTTTCTCTAGATTTTGATAGTGTACCTAGACGTCGAATTTTAAAAGTTTTTTTTTGTATCTTTTTCTTATATCCTCGGATAGTTTCTCACTGATTCTGAACTTTGTCAGTTTATAATCTGACCGATATATGGTGGAAAATTATAAATGTAATAACGTAATATTTTCAATACATATTAAATTGTTTAATAATCATACATATTTTTACATTAGCTGTTCCCGTGCGACTTCATCCGCATAAAATTATGAAAATTTTATTTTATTGTTTACATGTGTCAAATTATCAATTGCAAATGTCAAAATGACATAACGTGATGACAACCTTGATGTTGGCAGCAACTTATGGTCTCTTTCCCACATTAGGGTCTTTATGCAAAATATTTACCCCCTAAGTTTAATGGCGTGAAAATATATAGCCTAAAGCGTGACGTAAGTGTAGGGCGTTTTATTAAAAAAATGATTATTCAAAAATATGCTGTAATTGCTGACATCTTAAGCAACAAAGAAGTGTGTGTACGTATTATTGTAATAGTATAGATATAGATTATTAGTTAAAATTGGTGCTAGAGGCCAATTCCTCCCCCCCCCCCTTTTTGTAAAAAGAAAGAATGAGAACGGGACAAGAGACATATCCTTATTTCTGTGTATCCTTTCCTAAGATGATTAAAGGTAGACAACGCATCAATAAATGCCAATGTCTCTGAGCAATGCTCGTTTTCTTATTTTGGTTAATTCCGGTGGTCACTTTATTGTCTCGGGTTTGACTGCTTCTAAAGTCTTAACCTCACCCTTCTTCCTCAGATGGACATCTACGTGCAGACAGCGAGCCCCATAGTGGAGCAAGTGGTGCGCGGCTACAATGGTACCATCTTCGCTTACGGGCAGACCGGCACCGGCAAGACGTACACAATGGCGGGCTCCAACACCGCCCCAGAGCTGCGAGGAATCATACCGAACTCGTTCGCACACATCTTCAGTCATATCGCCAAAGCGAAGGATGATGAGAAGTGAGTTTCGATTTATCTTCATTTGAATAAGTAGCTGTCGACCGCGATTCCGTCCGCGTGGAATAAAGCAAAAGTACCCTATGTTTTCTTCTAGACTATTCTCTATATCTGTGCCAAATTTTATCGAGATCTGTTCAGCAGTTTAGGCAAAAAAATATTAGTACGATTAGTAAAATAATGTCACTAATATTCTAACATTAATATAGACAATGACAAAGTAAATCCAAGATCCAAGATGGCTGTCGCAAGGACGGCCATCTTAGTTTGACCGATAACGTACTCACTCAATAAGTGTGTTATTTACTAACCAATTTTTTTTGACCAAGTAGAAACTACATTTTAAACTTTTTTATTGTTGCTTAAAAGGACAATTTATAGATTCTTCTTAACTTCCATGGGTATTGTTAACGGTTTGGCTATGGAGAAATCTACCTCACTACACGGTCGAAATAAGTACAAATAACTATAAATTACTTCAAAATACTACAATGCCTAAAATCACAATAGATAACATAAAAAATACCTCTCAGTTTTTTCATTAAAAATATTGCAACATGTAATAAGAATGCCCATTGGTATAAAAAAAGGTTTTATACAATTTCGAGAATGTTGCTTCATATTTGTATTCAACGAGCTAAAAACTTGCCTCGTGTAAATGGTTGTTTAATAGTAGAAACCAATAAAACTACTATAATAGTGAAAAAAGTTCAGGCAACAAGGAGAACGTTAGTTATGAGTATGGAGGTACACCGGTAGAGGTAGACATAGAAAGAGATGGATGGATTGCGTAAAACGTGACATGATCAAGGGAGTGATGACTGAGATGACATATGACAGAGTTACGTGGAGGACAAAAACCTGTTGCGTCACTACGGGAGTAGGATAAGGAGGATGATGAATCATTGATTTATTGTTCCCATTATATTATTCCAGGTTCCTAGTATGCGTGACATACTTGGAGATCTACAACGAGGAAGTACGTGACCTGCTCGGGAACAACCCGCACCAGAGCCTCGAGGTCAAGGAGCGCCCTGACATCGGCGTCTTCGTTAAAGACCTCACTGGTAATTACCACTCCAAATAACTACAGCCACAGATAATACTCAGTTTTCAATTACTTGTTAGTAGACTTCTCTTATTTCTTCATCACCAGCACTCTATATTTCCCCACTGAAGGGATTGTAGCCTTCCCTAAGTTAGGAGTGACTAGGCCTTAGTCAACTACGTTGTACTACGGATTGACTTCACACATATCTGTGAATTTCTTCTCAGATCACTATGTTTTCCTTTATCGTAAGAACATAGGGTATTTTATGTACATACGAGATTCGGAAATCTCGATGGTACATGACGAGATTCGAACCCAAGACCCGTAGATTACATGTCAAGTGCTTAAACCCCAGAACCACCGACGCTCTCTTCTGACTTAACACCTATTGTTAACATTGGAAATTATGGGAAAATAAATTGGATTTGATACAGGAGACTTACGGATAGTGAAAATATCTTTCTACGTGTCCCGTCTTCTGTTATTTTAAGGCGACACAGCTACAAATGCAGTTCTATCTTGCCAGTAGTCTCTTCTATATTTTGTTCGTTTTACAATAGTTGTAAAAATAAATTCAACAGTGGTAGAGTCCGCTTTAACATCTTAGCACGAATGGGTCGGCTCGCCCGGTGCAATACCACGACCACACAGAAAACAGGCATGAAGTGGAAGCAATTCCGCGTTTCGTCTAATGAGTGTGGTGCCGGAAGCCCGATTTTAGTCCCTTTCCCGTTCCACCTTTTTCTTACAAGAAAAGGGTTGGATGGGAGAGCGGACGGTGGAGGAGACGCATAGGAAGGGGAAATATCCTCTCTATGTGCGTCTCTTCCTCCGTAGATTTAGAGTAGGCAACGTATCTGCAATTGCGGATGTCTATGGGCAACAGTCGCTTCGCCATTTCCGCGGATTTAGGTGGCCGCTTGCTCGTTTGCCACCACATTGTATAAAAAAATAATAATAATTTATCATCAGACAGCATAACACAGAATGCTGACATCCGCCTTCTCCTGTGTTCCTCATGTCCTGTGTTCAACATAAACCTTTGTCCCTTAGTATTTTCTGCTCTTCCATTTTTACCAGCCGTCATATTTGAATCGAGTCCCTTAAGCAAATCCTCTATCACATAATCCATTCTTCAGTCTTCCTCTACATGTGTAGCCGTCCACATTCAATCTTAACACTTTCTGGTTTATGTGTTCACTGATATTCCTGTCTGTATTTCAGGGTACGTGGTGCACAATGCCGACGAGTTAGAGAAGATAATGTCAGTGGGCAATAAGAATCGTCATATCGGCGCGACCGCAATGAATATTGAAAGTTCCCGTTCACATGCGATATTCTCTATTACCGTGGAGAGCAGTAAGAAGGGCAGTGATGGAAAAACGCATGTCAAGATGGGCAAACTGCATCTTGTCGATTTAGCGGTAATTGTCACATATCTATACTATTATAATAAAGCGTAAAAACACACTTCTTTGTTGCCTAAGATGTCAGCAATCACAGCATATTTTTGAATAATGCTTTATTTTATAAAAAGCCCTACACGTTACGTGTACTTACGTCACACTTTAGACTATACATTTTCACGCTATTAAACTTAGGGGGTAAATATTTTGGATAAGAACCTTAATGTGAGAAAGAGACCATAAGTTGCTGCCAACATCAAGAAAGTAAGATTGTCAAGGTTTGTCATGTCATGTCATTTTGACATTTGCTATTGATACTTTGACAAATGTAAACAATAAAGTAAAGTTTTGATAATTACACGCGGATGAAGCCGCAACCAACAGCTAGTATAGTATACTTTGTTTATTGTACACTAGCTTTCGCCCGCGACTCCATCCGCGTTGAATTTAAAAAAAAAAACAAAAGTGAATAGCCTATGTGTTCTTCCAGATCCTCTACGTCTGTGACAAATTTCATCGAGACCTGTTCAGCCGTTTAGGATACAAATTCTAACAAAAATCCATCCATCCATACAAAACTTTCGTATTTATAATATTAGTAAGATAAGATTTTGTTTATTGTAAACTTCATTTATCGTTCATAGCGTTTATTGTACATTTCGTTTATCGCTAGTGGAATCTAAAATTATGTTAAAATAATTAAAACTAGGTTCCTGTAGTTGGATTTTGTATCAAGAGATTTATTCAAATATAGCCTATGATACTCTCATAAATAACCTTTCTAACAGTGAAAGAATTTTTAAAATCGACCCAGTAGATTTTACGTGAATCGAATACATACAAAAATTATTTTTTTTATAATACTAGCTTTGATCCACGACTCCGTTCACGTGGAATGAAAAAAAACAAAAGTGAGTAGCCGAAAAGAGTAGTAGTAAAGTGTTCTACTCTCTACGCCTGTGCCAAATTTCATCGAAATCCGTTGAGCAGTTTAGGCTACAAACTCTAACAAACATCCATCCATCTAAACTTCGCATTTGTAATATTAGTATGAAGTATGATTAGTGGAAATATACATTTTTGTTGATTTTTCTATATCAATTTTCCAGGGCTCTGAGCGTCAGAGTAAGACGCAGGCGACCGGCACTCGGCTGAAGGAGGCCAGTAAGATCAACCAGTCGCTGTCGGTGTTGGGCAACGTCATCTCCGCGCTGGTGGACGGCAAGTCCACGCACATCCCCTACCGGAACTCCAAGCTCACTCGACTGCTGCAGGACTCGCTTGGAGGAAACTCCAAGACTGTTATGGTAAGAGAACGCACCAAATTTATATAAAAAAGTGTTTAAAACAATTTATGTGTTCATTTTATGTTCTCTAGTTTTTTATTTCAAGGTTAGGTTTTAGGTTACTTAGAATCAGACTCAACAAATCCTAAATTGTCCTATAGCAAATCAACGTAAAATGCGGTGAAAATATCCGATTTTGTTACTTTATCTGACAGTGACGTCATTTTAAGCTTATCTAAGCCTTTATCAGCCAGTGGTGGGAGAAACCCTTAGTTTTGTGTTAATGTGTTCTTCTAGACAATTAGTCGGTGTCAGTCAATGTATTCATTACTTAAACGTCACAATACTTTCAATTGTAAATGTAGAGAGCCTTACGTAGAAATATCACTGCATACCTTGGCTGACATCGACTTCAAAGTAATAATAATTGTACAATATAGACATAACAGCAACAATAAGGAAGGTTTACTATTTTCAAGGGATTATTTCGTTACTTTTTAGTGTATTGTTTTTTTGAGAACATTTCGTTTGGAAGTCGGTTTTGTTTTTCAAATTCCAAGCTAGTAAATAATAAATAAATGTTTCAGATAGCAACAATCGGTCCAGCGGAGTCGAACTACGTGGAAACAATCAGTACTCTACGATACGCGAACCGCGCCAAGAACATTGAGAACAAGACGCACGTTAACAGCGAGCCCGGAGACGCACTACTCACCAGGTATACTAAATACTAATATAGTAAAGAGAAAAGATTTGTATTTTTGTATGTATTGAAGTAACTCATTCAAAAACTACTTGGACGATTTTAAAAATTCTTTCACCATTAACAAGTAACGTTATCACAGGAACATAGATTAATATTTTGCTATTTTCTAGATTCCAACAAGAAATCGATCAACTCAAAAAACAACTGGAAGAGACTGCTAACGGTAAGATAACTGCAATATTTTAGAATTAACTAGTTATCTCCCGCGACTTGAAATAAATAAATTCTTATCGACATTAAAAAAATACTAGTAAAAAATTGACATTATATAATATTAAATTTTGCCTAAAACTCCGTCTCCGCGGAAATAAAACGAAAATTACTAGCTCATTTGCCTTTCCAGACAATGTTGTACATCTGTGTCACATTTCATCAAGATCTATTCAGCAGTTACAAAATACTTTCTAACATCCATCCATCTTAACGTTCGGATTTATAATAGTAAGAACAGAGATCACTAATATAAATCCAAAAGTTTGAATGGATGTTTATTACAGTTTGTAATCGAAAATGCTTCACGGGTCTCGATGAAATTTGGTGTAAATGTAGAACAGTCTGGAAGAACATATAGGGTACTTCTTCTTCTTAAAGTGCTATCTTCTTCCGAAATTCGGCGATCATTAGGGCGACTTTCGTTCTTGACACCGCGGCTCTGAAATAAACGGGTGCACTTTCCATACCACTGGCGTAGGTTTTTGAGCCAGGACGTTCTTCTTCGACCTACACTTCGCTTTTCTTGGATCTTGCCTTGTACAATGAGCAGCAGTAGTTCGTATTTGGCATTTCGCTTTATGTGGCCTTCTTTTCTTAACTGTATATATCACTTCTGTCTTTTTCTTCATGCGCTCTAACACGGTTACATTTTTAATTTTGTCTCTCCAGGGTATAGGGTACTGTTTATTTGTAAATCCAAGCGGATGGAGTCGACAGCTAAAGTTAGTGTGAAATAGTTAAGGTATTTAAAACATTTCTAGAAAGTTCTTGTCTTAATATTAGTAGAAATGGAAGAAGAGGAGGAAGAGGATGAGTGCGGGGAGGAGGAGCTGAGTGACGACACCCTTACCGACCCTGAGCTGGACTGCCTCGACCCTGAGGATAGGAAGATACAACGAAACATCAGGAGAGAGGAGAAGGTACGTATTTTACTATCTATACTATTATAATAAAGCGTAAACACACACTTCTTTGTTGCCTAAGATGTCAGCAATAATTTAATAAAAAGCCCTATACTTGCGTCACGCTTTAGGCTATATATTTTAACGCCATTGAACATAGGGGGTAAATATTTTGGATAAAACCCTAATGTGGGAAAGAGACCATAAGTTGCTGCCAACATCAAGGAAGCAAGATTGTCATCATGTCAAGTCATTTTGACATTTGTAATTGATAATTTGACAAATGTAAACAACAAAATAAAATTTTCATATTTTCATGCGGATGAAGTCGCACGGGAGCAGCTAGTAACTAAAACAAATGTTTCTATAACTAATGTGACTACTGACTTTTGCCCGCGACTTTGTCTTACTTTCTTACTTGTCTGATTACATCCATAAAAACTATATACATAAAACTAAATAAGAAGAATTACCAACTATTGATTAAAATGTTCTTTAAGAAAAAAAAAACAGAAAAATAAATAGATACATTGTTTTAATGCTTGTTTATCTGTAAGTAAATAATGGCTTTGTTATTATTATTATTATTAATTAAAATGTATACAATTACAGGCCAAAGTAAATAGAGAGAAGGCGCACCAGGCGCGGAAAGTTCTGGAAGAGAAGAAAGCTGAACTGCAAAAGACTAAGTAAGTTGTCACTTATATGAAAATATATCATCTAACTAATATAATAAATGCGAAAATTTAGATGGATGGATGGATGGATGTTTGTTAGAGTTTGTAGCATAAACGGCTGAACGGATCTCGATGAAATTTGGCATAGACGTAGAGGATAGTCTGGAAGAAAACATAGGCTATTTACTTTTGTTATTTTTAATTCCACGCGAACAGAGTCGCGGGCGAAAGCTAGTTTGGAATAATTAAATAAAACCATTAGATTTTTTATCAGTGTCTTGTTTTGCTTTAGGAAGCAACAAGAGGAGCTGAAAGAGAAGTTGCAGCGCTTGGAGTGTAAAGTGCTGGTGGGAGGAGAGAACTTGCTGGACAAGGCGGACGCCCAGCGCCAGCTGCTGGAGCAGGCCGCTAAGGAGCTGGAGCAGCGCACCCTCAACGAGCTGAGGCTGCAGGAGGACTTGCAGAAGAAGGAGGTGAGACACTTTGAAACTCTTACCAGACAATATACTCTGTGTAAGGGACACACAAAGGTCAGCGAATTTAGTGACTTCGCTATTTTGACGAATTCAGATATCTCATTTGATTTATATAATAAAACTGACCTTGCAAACCTACTATCACTTATATATATACTAACTTTTGCCTCCGACTCCGTCCGCGACAAATTAAAAAATCCAAAAGTACTTGAGTTCTTTCAGACTATTCTCTGTATCTATGCCAAATTTCATAGAGATCTGTTCAGCAGTTAGGCTACAAACTATAACAAACATCCATCTAAATTTTCGCCTTTGTAATATTAATAATACTAATAATAAAAGCTATTAAAATATTTGGATTTGGCTCACGAGATTACCGCCATGTGGCGTATGAAATCGACTACCATTATTCCGATAGTCGTTTCGGCACACGGGCTGATAGCGAAGAGCTTCGACCAACACCTCAAGAAGCTCTGGCTAGACAGTTGGATTAAGGGCCCGATTCAAAAGGCGGTTATTTTAGAAACCGCACGACTAGTGAGGAGGTTCCTGTCTCTGCCCTGACCACTGGTTGCTTGAGTCATCGGATTCCGCAGCCGGTGGACTTACTATTTTTTTATATAATATGTTTTATTTTGTTATTTTTCTAAGAAAATCATGTGAAATGTATTATATATAAAAATAAGAGAATAAAGATATGAAGATACTAATAATAATATTACAAAGAGCAACGATTTATATTTTTTTTGTGTACTAAAATAACTTAAAAATTACTGGGCCAATTTCAAAAATGCAAAGGATGGATGTTTGTTAGAGTTTGTAGCCTAAACGGCTGTACGAATTTCAATGAAATTTGGTACAGATGTAGAGAATACTCTGGAAGAACACATAGGCTACTTACTTTGTTTTTTTTTTAATTTATCGCGGACGGAATAGCGAGCAAAAGCTAGTAGGATATATTTTAAAATTTCGCGTGTAGGACGACGCGAGCAACAGGCTATAGTATAATGATGTTTTAGAACAAGAATTAGATATATGGTTTGTGCCAGGCGGAGCGGCTGGACCTGGAGGAGCGCTACTCCAGCCTGCAGGAGGAGAACGCAGCCAAGACGAGGAAGCTGAAGCGAGCTGTGCAGCTGCTCAACTCCGCTAAGGTACTTCAGCTCGCTGTATTTCCCAAATTACATCAGAGACGACCCTTAAATTCATGATTTTTTTCGTTTTAAATACCATAAATTGAAACTGGTAGTATTTTTTTTAATATTAGTTGACTTTTGTTAATCTTACTAACATTATAAATGCGAAAGTTTAGATGGATGGATGGATGTTTGTTAGAGTTTGTAGCCTATACGGCTGAACGCATAACGATTAAATTTAGCATAGATGTAGAGCATAGTCTGGAAGACCAGATAGGCTACTTGCATTTTTTTTTAATTCCGCGCGGACGGAGTCGCAGGCGAAAGCTAGTGGTTTATATTTGTTGAATTATATTATACGTCCCCATGAGTCGTTATCAGCAACGCAAATACATCATCTTCCCGAAATCTGTAATTTCCCTTAATATTACAAACAGACAGTCCAATTGTATTATATGTATAGACGAGTACAATGTCACTTGCAGGCGGAGCTGGCGGACCAGCAGCGCGAGCAGCAGCGCGAGATGGAGGGCATCCTGGACGGCGTGCGCGCGCTGCGCCGCGAGATACAGCTCGCGGACCTCGTGCTGGACTCCTACATACCCAAGGAGTACCAGGTTTGTTTTGTTTTTTTTGTGACTGAATGGCCACTGTTTGCCTTGAGATTCGCCGGCCTTGAGGTGGCCGAGCGCAGATAGCGCTTAGTCTAAACCTCGTTTATGAGTAACTAGGCTCGAGGGCTCCCTCAGGAGCCTCGGCTCGGACCGTTACCTCATTATTATTACCGGATTGAGAGGCCACCGAGCTCTTAGATCGCTTCGGAGTGACTAAGCACAAGGGCTTCAAGTACCAGGTACCATTCGTCTCGAATGTATTGTACGTTCAAAGTGTCGGTGGCTCAGTGCTTTAAGCACTTGACTTGTAGTCTACAAGTCTTGGGTTCGAATTCCGCTGTACCAATGTGATTTTCCATTTTTCGAATTTTTTATTCATAATTTACCCAACGTTTTTTTTATTTTTGTATGTATTTGATTTACGTAAATACTATTGGGCTGATTTTAAAATTTTTTTCACCATTGGAAAGGTAATTTATCTGTGAGTAACATAATCTATATTTTGTATTATTTTTATAATTCCACGCGGGCGAAATCGCGTGCAACCGCTAGTAAAAAATACATATAAAATTGAGAACCTGCTTAAAGATAAAACTATTTATTTCCAGGCGTTGATCGACAAATACGTTCACTGGAACGAGCAGCTCGGCGAGTGGCAGGTGAAGTGCGTCGCCTACACCGGCAACAACATGAGCGCGCCGCACCAGCGCCCGCAGCGCGCGCACAAGCACGTAAGTCACTGTACACTGCACAACAGTATACACTGTGCGCGACTGTACACAACACACCACAGTATATATTGTACGCGACTGTACACAACACACCATAGTACATGTTGTGCTCAACTGCACACTACACGTGACCGTATATTGTGCCGGACTGTACACATAACGTATGTTAATGTGTTCTGTGCTCGACTGTACACAACACACCAAAGTACATATTGTGCGCAGCTGTACACAACACGTGACCGTACATTGTGCCGGACTGTACACATAACGCGTGTTTATGTGCTCTGTGCTCGATTGCACGCGACACACCAACGTATATATTGTGCGCAACTGTACACGTAACGCTTGTTAGTGTGATCTATGCTCGACAGTACTCAACACACTTGAGCTCACACTTATGTTGTGCCGGACTGTACATATAACACTTGTTAGTGTGCTCTGTGCACGTATGTACGCGACATACGTGAGCCTACACTTGCATTGTGTCGGACTGTACACGTAACACGCGTTAGTGTTCTCTGAGCTAGACTGTACACAACACACTTGAGCTTACATTGTGCTTAACTGTACACAACGCTAAAGCGTACACTTTGAACATCATACGTAAATATACATTGTGTACGACTGTACATACGATAACTGAATACCACGTAAATACACTGTACGAGAATGTTCACATACAAAGTTACATGATCATATCATAATGCGCTGTTCACACTCGGCCAGTACAGTTGGGTAGTTGCGGCGGCCAGTCATTGATTTTATGGTCTCACTGACGCCATTTATCGTTCAAACTGTGCCGGTTTTGTTAGTCCAGTTATTGAACGCTACTTACTGTACTGACCAAGTGTGATCCGCACATAAAGCAATGTACGCTTGTGTACACGAGTGAGTTTTAAAAATCCTTATGAAATACCTGTAGCAGGTGGAACCGCCAGATCTATCAGACCGCTACCTGTCGTACTCGAGTGCGAGCTCTCGGCCCGGCACCCGGCTGGCGCGCCCGCACTCCGCCGTGCCCAGGCCGCACTCCGCCGCGCTGCGCCAGAGACAATGAACATACTCTATGATACTCTTAATCTATGAAAAATAGATTACTTTTTATCGCATTCAATAATAGAAGCTTGATTACTACCGACTTTGTAGAAGTTGGTAGATTAAACAAAAAAGTATTTATGCTTATTCAAAGATAAGTAGACTTTGACTTCTGAATTTATTTGAAAAAGAGATTTTTATTATTTTGTCTTGATTGCGTGTATTTTAGTAAATTCGTTTTACTTTTCATGTCTTTGTCTGTAACACTACTCGTAATAAATAACCAAAATAATTTTCGGAGTTTATTTAATTCTATTGCCAGCTTTAAAAATAATGTTATTTGCGATTATTCTAATAAAATTGCATCTACAAGTTGGCGGCAAAATGATTCTCATTTTATGGATATTATACTAGTCACATTCCAATGAGTATTTTCCAATAGATGTAACTGTCAGTATTAATATTTTTTTTTTACTCTTAACCAGTGATTTTTAAAATAATCCATTAAACCCGTTTAGGATCCAAGGGATCCCGGCAGCAGTGATAAGCGGGAAAAAAAGTTAAGGGTTTTTTCTTTTTGGCTTTCACACCCAAGTGTATTTAGCCACAAGGAAAAAATTGGGAATCTCTGGTCTAAAATTAAATGAAAGTGATAAAATATTTTTATTTTTAATTATGTTACCATGACTTCATTTTACGTTCGTGTTGTGTCTAAATTGCTTTTTTTATTTTTTTTGTGATATTTAGTTTTAATGCAGTATTGCTTTGGTAAATTATATTTATTTTGATTGGCTTTTGAGTTTTTTTTCTTCCTGTTACAAATCGTAATTTACTTTAAAACACATTATTAATAAGTTTTGTTCCAATTATAATCGATTGAAAAATTTAATAAAATTCAGGGCCACATAGATTATTACAGCAATCTATTTAACATTTGGCTGATTATTTACTTTTATTTCTATATTATTGTGTAATATGACGCTTATTGGTGCTATTCTGAATAAAGCAAAGTCGGTAGAGTCCGTGACTAAAAAGTACGCGTCGCCTCCGCCTGAAATTGACCAGATTCCTAAACGCAAGAGAAAGGTTATTGACAAGGTGAGTGATATGTTCATAAATCAGTGATGCTCAAAGTTCACTAGTTAAAAAAATAGTAGCCGGCGGTTCTCGGAAACTTGTTTTTTGATAATAATTCTATGTAACTCTAGTGTGTCTAAATAATTTAGAATAGTTTGACAATTCACTTCAAATTTAGGGGGGATGTTGTGTAAAATCAGTCATGAATCTTATCGATTTTCGATTTTTATTCTTATAGAAGTTGGAATCGATAGATTTATAGATAGTTATTGCTTATGAATTTTAAAAAAAGCACAGTTTTCTCAAATTAATAATGACCATAACAAATAATGAGAGTAAATAAATGTTTATTGCTACTACAGCCGTACGTAATCGAATTGGATTTCGCTATTATTTCTGTCATTGCTAAATTCTCTACACTATAATAAATACTAGAATTGTCCTCTAAATTAGTTAATAAGTAAATAATAATTTTAGTCGAGTTCGAAAATGATTTCAACCGAATATCGGTAGTTCAAAATTGTTCGCTATACGTGTTTGTGGGTCACTACGAAACCTGTCTATTAAGTATGGCATTTGCGTTCAATCAAATTAAATTCGATACTTCATATGCATCATTTATCAAACTAATCTATCTTATTTAAATACACTATACTACAGTTTTTTAATTATAGAACAGGTTAAGGACATTTGTACATTTTTTATTACTTAAGGCTATTTAAAATATGATAATTCACATTAAATATAAAAATATTACAGTACAAACATGTAAAAGCAGCTGTGGATAGCGCGCCACCGAGTTATGATACACGAATTATGCCGCGAAATTTGCCAAAATGGCGGCGCAACCTCCGCGATGTGACGCTAGAAAACACGCGGCTAGTGATGGCTATCAAAAAGACGCATTTTAATCGAGTTAGTAATTTTTTTAAAGAATATCAATCGAGTAAAACAACTTCATGAAAAAAAAAACGCTTTATTCCTCTTAGCCTTACAATAACGTATCGAGTAGTTAAAACTGAACTAAAATACACTCTTAAAGATAAAAACGGTTATGATTTTATTAATTATTTCCTAATAGGGTAAAATAGACAATTATTGGACAAAACGCCTCCACTACACCAATATTTACTACGACAGCCGGGTGAACTTCTACAAGCGAGTGCAAAGGGATAATAAGGCTTTGTACTCGCGATTAGTCAATGCTGTAAGTTTATACAACTAAAGCTGGCTGTGGCTGGCCACAGACGCTCATTTTGAAATAAAATGTAATTAACTTAGTAGCCTGTACAATAACAAAATTCATTCTCACATTGTCTTTGATGGAAAAAAAAACGCCTAACGTCAAAACATTTTATACATGTTATTTCTCAATGTCAAGATCCCTCGAATAGCAACAACAGCGGAGTTGGAACGGGACTGGCAGCGCAACCGGCGAGAAATTCTTTACAAAGCGGTCAACAAGTTTGTTCTCTTCCCTCCAGTGCCACGAGAGTTAATTGAAGATGCTGCCTTTTTAAAACCACCAGGTGTTAGACGACAGAGGTAATTTGGTACAATCTCACTGGTACAGTGGTACAATATTACCACTTTATTAAAAAAAAAGAATCGATAAAAACAAAATCGATTTTAAAACAATGTTATTGTCGATATTTCTTACATCCCTAAAGACCAAAGAGAATGCTGTCAAAATTAACTCTGTTCTCTATATAAAAATCATTAAACCATAGACGTACGAAATTTTTATGTTATTCTTAAAAATATAGTAGTTACCTCTTCTAGTAAGAAAATAAACTTTTCTTATTATATTAGGGTATATTTAAGTGTACGGTTTCGAGGCGGTGCAGTAATCGGCGAGCTGAAAGTAGAACTTTTCGAAGAGGTGTGCCCCGAAACTTGCAAACTGTTCCTCGAGTTACTAGATGGAGATACTGGCTTCGGGTACATAGGGACTTGCTTCTTTAGGTAATACCTTATACCTACGTAGCCTAACATAGCTTATAAACGTCTTTTCCCATCTACCTGTTTATTCAAGAGTTTATTCTAATAAATATTTGAATCACAACTACTATAATACTACGGTATTCGAGTAAGAGACATTTTTATAACAACACAAATCTTTGATTAATCGGGTATTATAACACCTCTTTGATGCAATAAACAAACTCCTTTTGTTTCAAAACATTTTGACAATAATTCATTTGACGCCGAGAGCTAACACGAAAATGTAGTAAAATAATGGTAAAGCTTGTTTGGTGTCTTACAGCATTCTTTACGAGCATCATTTTATTTCTTCTATTGATGTACACGGGTGTGATTGATGTGAGAGGAGAGGAAATATAGAACACAATGCTGGTGTCAGGAACCACTATACTCGGCACCGAGATCCTTCTGAAGATCATAAGTCCGGAGGGTCACACGTTCAGCGCGTCCTTCGTCGACGAGACTCTCATAGAAGATGTGAAGAATCGAGCCATCGACTACTTTTACCCGAACGGCGAGCACGGCGCGAGCCGCTACAAGCTGATCCGAGTGTACGACACAACCACCCTGCACGACTTCCTGACGCTGGCGCAGGAGCAGGTGGCCATGCAGGAGGAGCTGTTGCTGATAGAGCGGCGCGTGCCCGAGGCCGGCAATCTGTGGGACCTGGGCGCCGTGCGCGCGCCGCAGCAGACCGCCATCGCCGCCGCCACCGCCTCGCTGCCACCGCCGCACAGTACCTTGCGCCAGCCCAACCTGCAGGCGCTGCTCTCCACCAACGAGCTCACCTACGAGCTGCGCAAAATCCTCATCTCTCTGATCGAGGCGGGCGCCCGGCTCGCCGCCGCCGGAAGGAACTACGAACTGACGCTGGCGCAGCTCTCCGCTGCACTCGATGAGCCGCAGCGCGCGCGCGACCTCGACGCGCAGGTCATCACGCCGCAGGAGATTGCGGCGCGGCTCAATCTGCCGCAGCAGGAGGCGCGCGCCCCCGCCACAGGCGAGCCGGAGGGGCCTTTCCGACGCGCCGCGCACCTTCAGCGCTTCCTCGAGAAGTTCCGCGCCTGGAGGCTCAAGATAGCAGAGCCGCCCAACGCAGAGGCGCTCGCGGCGCTCAACGAGCTCGGCTTCACGGCGGAGGAGGCGGACGAGGCGCTGCGCTGCACCGGCAGCAACGTGCCCGCAGCCGCGTCCTGGCTGATCGGCGAGCGCGGCTCGAGCGTGTTCGAGTTGGTGAGCGGGCTGCCCGATGGCCTCATCCTGCAGACGCTGCTCAAGCAGCCGCAGATCCAGCGCGGACTGCTGAACACGCGCATGCTGATCGCATTCATAGCGATGGTGGGCCAGACTGGCAGCGCCGCGCTCTGGCTCAACTCGCCGCACGGCAGCCCGCTGCTGTCGCAGATATCGCGCACCTACCACTCGGAGAAGTACTGCCTCGCCGTCAACCAGTTCTCCAACGAGCGGCCGCCGCAGTCCGCCGCGCCCGCCGCGCCCTCCACCTCCAGGCAGCGCCGTTGATTACTACTTTTGAAATATTTACTTTATAAACATTTTATTTGGTAGAATATATTTTTTTATATTTATTATTTTTACTTTTATTTTCCCTTATTTACCTATTTGTATTAGCTTTAAATTTCATTCCCAAGATAGGCTTGTACCATGTATGTGTGAGTAGGAAGGTGCCGGGGCTGTTCTGGCGCGGCGGGGACGTGGCGCGCGACTGCGGCGGCGGCTGCTACCTGCAGCGCGGCCGGCGCGCCCCGCAGCCCGCGGAGAACTATCACTTCCCGCACTCCATGCCAGGTACTGCTCTTGTACAACTGACACACTGATCCTTCGATCTTTGTTTTATGAACTCAAACATGCGAATTATTAACTTAATAGCAAGCAACTCGTCTTGTTTTCAGGTCTGCTGTCGATGCCGGTGACACGCAACAACGAGGTGTGCGGGATATTCAACATCACTTTCAAACCTCTGCCGCAGTTCGACCTAAACAACGTCGTCTTCGGCAGAGTGAGTACGGGAATATTTATTTACTGTTCATATTTTTTTCATCTAACCGAAAAAAATCTATTTGCAGATAGTTCGTCCGTGCAACGTGTACGAAGCGATCTGCGGTCTGGGGAACGCACTCAGTACTCAGCCCGTTGTAGAGATAGCATCGTCAAGGCGCTTCGTCAATAATAAGTGGAGGCAAGGAGCCAAGAACACAAAATTACTTGATTTAAATAAAAATAAACAAATTTAGTAAAACGTGATTTACTTTTTTCTTTAATATCTCAAGACCCCAGATGAAAACATTAGATATTACAATCGTAAAGTTTTTTATTTTCTGCCATCTCTCGGCGGATAGCAAAAGCAGGAATTTTGAATTGCTTTTCAATTTTTTCTTTCATCAATAGATGGCGCTTTCAGAACACACAAGTGCCATCTATTGTCAAGAAGTGACCAATTAATAATTTAACTTTTTGTCAACAGGTGGCTCTTTGCAGGACTTGAGTACCCTTTTGGTAAAATTAAAAATGTCAACTTCTTGATAATAGATGGCACTTCAACTATTAATTAAATTACAATAGATTGTAATTTATGTATGATTTTTATTACAGCTTCACCCCCAATATATTGAAACTGTCGCTTCTGGTTAAATACCAAACTGATTTCTGCACACATTACACTTACGGCAGGTTAAAATTATATTTTAATCAGGATCTTCGATCGAGAGATCATTTATATGTCAGACTACCTGTTGCCCACGACTTCGTCCGCGTGGAGTTTGAAAGTTTAAAATTTACGTTCGCTCCTTTTTTCAACCTATTACCTAAAGTATAATAACAGTAATCTACTGATGCAAGATTTCAAATTTCTAAGCCCCGTGGTTTGTGCACTAATTTTTCGGGTACCCTTTTTGTTTGTGTTCGCGATATCTTCATACTATTTGTCCAATTTATTTGGATAAGGATTAATATTGAAACCAATAAAAGAACGCCGCAATTTGCGTACGGTTTTTAATTTATTTTGTAAACAAAAAGTGGTTGTTATAAGAAAACCTTTAAAGATAGATATATGCTATCGCGGACTTTTCTGTAGAACATTTTGAGATCTACAATTCTGTCATATATCATTTTTATATATCTCTAACGGTATACGCAGCTTAATCCAAGAAAAGTTAAAATATTGTGATTTTTCAAAGCACTGGTCCAGAAATACGTTATTTATTAATAGTTCCTCAACATTAGTAATAATAAAATACAGCTTATGTTACTCACAGATAAATTTCCTTTCTAATGGTGAAAGAATTTTTTAAATCGATCCTGTAGTTTTTGAGTTATTTCAATACATACAAAAATTTAAAATGCAAATGATGCTTAAAAGCGACACTTCGCTTGAATTAATGTAACTTAAATTATATGAAATTAAACTACTATTGATCCTTATTTTAATATATTTATATGGATATTTCAAAAATGTATCTATATTCGTACAAAACTGACATTGTTTTTTGAATGTTATCCAAAACAAACTTTATAAAGAAGACACGTATTTCTTGAATCAGTCTATCCAACAATTTGATTGTGGAAAATGTTATCGACTCTGAGGTAGCCAGAAAAGTTCATCATCCTCCGTTTTGTTTTTGAGATGTCTGAAGATTTTCCTGAAATAAAAGACAATATTTTAATCGAAATTTGCAAATTTTTTAAGTAATAAAAATATAACTGTTTTCGAAATTGTTATCCTAGGGAAGTGACGATTCTAACACTATTCAAAATCAGTAACGCCCTTTAAGCTACAATTCAATTTTATAATTAGATCGTATCATTTGGTTTATACCCACCATATGGTCCTAGGCACGTGTCCCCAGTCGTGGGGCACGCGAGCCAGCACGCGGCGCAGGTCGGGCGCGTGCGGGGGCACGGCGGGGTCGTCGCCGGCGGGCGTGCCCCCCGCGCTCCCCGCGCCCCCCGCACCCGGCGTCACCTCGCGCACCGTCACGTGACTGGCGCGCGGCCACGCCAGCTCGCGTGCGTCCTCCACCACCAGCTCTATACGCAGCGTCACTTGCCACACGCGCCGCATGTGGAAGTTCGCCACCTACACAACACACACATCACGTATGTTTTAATCTAGTGATCATTGCTGATGAGTGACGTGACCGAAGAAAGTATGGATGGATTGTATGAAAGAAAGGAGTGGATTTATTTATAGATGTATGGAAGAGCAGCATATACTGTCGACCCTCCGTAAGGGATAAGGGCAGGTTGATGATGATGAGTGCCGTGACTCACAGTGAGCAGTATCTTGCCGCAGTGCGCCAGTGAGAAGGCGAGGTGGGCGCGTGCGTCGGCCATCAGGCGCGCCCAGCGAGCGGCGGCGCGCGACACGCCCACACAGCGACGCAGCAGCGCGCCCACGCCGCGCCCGCCGCCCGCCGCACCCTCCGCCGCGCCCTCCGCCGCCTCGCGCCCGCCGCCGCTGCGCACGCACTCGTACCGCATCGCCTCGCAAGCCAACCGCACGCTAGCACACGCCACCGCATCAGACTCTGCAAATACGATGAAATTATGACGTAGCAATATCTAAAAGAGAATATGACTGTATTTTTATTAAACGTTTCTACTTGTATAACTAGAAAAAAATATTGACCCATTAATATTCAACCATTAAGCTATAAAAAATGAAATAAAACTACGACCATTTTCGTGAGGCCAAAACGCAACAGGGGTTTGCTAGAGACACGTGACGTCAATCGTCCCATTTCATTCAATTCATTTATCACGTTCGACCAATACCGTTTTAGAATTTAGAGGGAATTTTAAAAAATACACCTTTTAAATTTCGCCACTAAATCACATTATATTAAAAAAATCTATACAGGTATGTTTTTATAGTAATAAAGTATACTTAAAAATGTTTGGTTGTATTTGGCGTCATATGTATTATGTATTGTCTGTTATTAATGAACTTAATAAAAATAACTCTAAAAATAGCGTAGCATTTGTTTAGGTGGGATATTGGTAAATATTACCTTGATGCACTGGCTCTATGGTGATGCTGATGACGGGTGCGGAGGGCGCTGGGGGCGCTGGAGGCGGCAGGTCAGTGACGTCACGCAAGACGCGCACCGTCAGCCGCAGCCGCCGGCGCAGCAGAAGGAAGCGCCACGCGTCCGGCTCGCACCCCTCGCACTCGCACTCCCGGCTGCTGGACAGACGCATACATCGCTACATGCAGACACACGTGCTGCTCGCCGCGGCGACAGTGTTGCTCAACACTTACCCCAAGAAGGAGAGCGACTCGATGTGGCTCATGAGGTCGCTGCAGTCGTCGGTGTCGGTGTGGAGCGTCTCCTGCGAGCCCGACACCGTAACCAAGCTCGGCATATACTCCATCTCTTTCATCGCGTTACTGCTAGTGAAGGACGTCAGCTCCGTGCTCGTGCAGTCCTTCAGATCTTTGCGCGATATCGTCTCGGTCTTCAACGTACTGCAGGAGCTCGATCCTAAATCGTTACTTGGGAGTAGAAGTTTTTCTTTTTCTTCGGCGTTCAATTTACACACCGTGACGTGCTGTACTATTGTCGTTGTTCTCACCTTAGGTTTGGTACTACTTAGAAGGTTCGATTTGGCAAATCTCTTGGTCGGCTCGTTCTTAAACGGTTTATCGAAAGATTTATTTGATTCCGTTCTATAGTTTTGGACTGTATATCTCGGACTCGAGGACAATTTCTGCATCTTGGTGAGAGGTCTGGGCGTCACGTCGGCGGAGCACACTTTGTACTGGTCGTACTTGGCACGGTTATAGTTCCTCTTCTGCGCTCTGGTGGACTCCGCGTCGCTCGACTCGAAACTTGATTCAACAGTTTCGTCCTCTGCATCGTTCAGTTTGAATATAACTTTGACGGGCGACGTTTTCGGCGACTTGGCCGGCGACTTAGATTTAGCATTAGATGTTTCCTCGTCGATTAGTGTCAGAGACGAGCTCGCTTGCAGGAGGTCTTTGTTGCATTTCATGGCTATCAAAGTATTGACCTCGGTAGTTGTAATATTTTTCCGACTATTCATTGCCAATAAAATATCTCTATCTTCGATCGGTTCCTCCAAGTCTTCACATATTCTACCATTGTATTGTTTACCAAAGCGAACAGGTTTAGTGTCGATATTGTATTGAGTGGAAATTCTTTGAATTTCCATATCCTCTTTTAATGTTTCCTCTAAAAAGGAGGCCCGCGGCGAACTTTTCAGATTGTTTTTGTTGGGTGATATGCCGTGCGGCTGTAGGTCAGATTTTTTGGGGGAATATCTGTGTATATCCGTCTTACCCGATGGACATAATATGACATTATTTAAAGGATTCTTATGATCAAATATCAAAACCTGTTTAGTACCGGGTTTCTTTATGTCGCTTTCTACAAAGTAGTCAACCTCGGAGTCGGCGGAAGTGGCGGCGTCGGTAGCCGTATGTTCAACATCGTCGTCCTCGTGACGGCGAGTTAGTATTATGTTAGATTCCGATACGGGGTAGGAATTAATGTCGATGATGTCTATTTGACTGGATGTGATTATGTTCGTCTGCAACTCTTTGTTAACGGTCGTAGTGGATTTCTTATTTAACCTGTCGACTCCGGGCACGTGGTAGGGCATCAGATCCGCGGATGGCTTCACTAGATCCTGCATCAGAGACTTGAGGTCGTCGGAAACATCATTCAAGAAAGTGGGAATGACTTTTGCTTTGCTGTCTTTCGAGCTCGAGATATCGACCGGAGCCGTCTTTTTTAATAGAATTGAATTGGAGTTGCATTTAATTTCATCATTGGATTCGTCAAATTGCAATGTCTTGACGACGTCCCTGCTCACGTGACCTGACTTGCGACGCAGATTGACCTCTTCATACATGACATCATCTGCGTCCTCGACTGTTGCATCGTTAGTGAAATAGTTTTCACTTTCGATGCCTTCCATCGCTTCTTGCGAAGGCTGCAGCTGTTTTATTTCGATATCATTCTGCAGTTTATCACAACTTTCTTTACTGTCACTGGTATCTCCGTCAGATTTTTCTTGCATTTCAATGGGAACATCTATGATTTCTTTTGACGATTTACTTGCATCGAGCTCCTGTTGGCTGGGTATAGTTTTATCTGTGAAATCCGTCAACATTTCCAGCAGTTCTTTAGTATCATCGGCCTCTTTTACACATTTATCCTCGGCATCGTTTTCGTTCTCGAGTTCTTTCGCGTTATTTTCATCAATTTTGGTGTCAGAATGAGAACTTACAATCTCCTCTTTATTCGGTGGTTCATTTTCTTGTTCGTAACCCAAACTTACTGGCGGTCGATGAATATTTTCTGCTTGTATAATGCAACTACGAACTTCTTTCTGATCTGCAATATAACTGGGTTGCTTAGGTACATCTTCCTTCAAAGAAGAAGTATTATTTGATTCCTCTGGTGTGCTCTCGATAGATTTTGCCGGCTCTATTTTCGGTTCTTCTTTTACATGTTCTTCGGCGAAATTTTGAAAGGCCAGTTCTGATTCTAGACCTACCATTACATTTTTATCATCCACACCATCAAGTGACATATTCAAGGATTCGCCTGACATGTTCAACAGTTCAGCTAGTATTGACGTTTTATGTTTTTGTTCCGATGGCTGGGCGTCTGCCATTTTAGTTTCTCCTGTATAATTTGACACGTCGTGTATTAACAAACTCACTTCGCTTTCTTTACCCGCGTTTGACTTTCTCGACGTATTCTCTTCGTATCTATTTATAGTTCTATCGCTTTTGACATCACCCTGTTCGGTTCTTAATCCTTGGTGCTTTGAAACTTTATGTGTTGTTACAGCTTGATATACGAAAACATCTTTATGTTTGTGCTCTGTGGCTGATTTGAGACTATGTGTTTCTAATTTTTGATCAAGACAATCTATGTAATTCATAGAATTAAGTAAAGTCTCATTGTGGTCGGACAACGGCTTTGTGTGATCGTTGTAGATGTTGTCTAGTAACAAATCTTTATTTGCATTATCGCTTTCTACTATACTCTTTTGTAGTTCCTCCTTGGCTTGCTGTAACGTTCTTAATGCTAATGTATTTTTGTGCGTATCATCAATTGGATTTCCATGACTCACAGTGGAGTCTGTTGGCGCCAGGATATCCGCATATGACGTGTTTATTTTTGACGGCACGTTTTCTTCAGACTTTGTCAGCATACCTTCGCTTGCAGATACGGATGATAGTGGATAGTTATTTACATTTTCAAATATTAATAATGTGTTATCTCTATTGGATTTTATTTCATTTAACAATATATTTGTTGGAATAGCACGAGTAACCGATATGTCGCCCATTTCATCGTTGCTGAATACTATGGTTCCCCTTTTTGATACACTCTTATGTCCTACTTCATCAGGTTGTAATACTTGCGTCATGGACATATCAGCATAGCTTCTGGAATGTTCCATTCTTGCTGAAGGTATCTGAGCGACTTCCTCTATGATGTCTTTAACAACATTAGAAACAGTTGGATGTAATTGTCTGTCTGAGTACTGCAAACTTTTTCCATATATTGTAAGATCAGCAGTTGTGATGTTTTTAAGATCGTCCATGGCGTTGATCGTATTTATATTATTTGGCACCGCTTCAGCAGATGTTAGTGTGGAAATAATTGCTTTATGTTCTGAAATTTCCTTTTGTTCTAAAATAATATTCGATGGAATAGCTTGTGTCATTGATATGTCGCAATCTTTAACATCGTCACATGTCTGTTCTTCGATCACAGGATTGTCAACTAGTATGTCATTAGGTACTGCTTCAGTTATTGACATATTGCTGATATATTTGTCGCTCTTACGTGACATTCTTTCTTCACTTACTCTGTGTTCCGCAGTTTTCTCTTCTGTATCATTGTCTGCTAAAATATTTAACGAGAGCATTTTAGTTTCCGACATATTATAATCTTTTGATCCTTTCTTGTCACCTAATGTTGTGTTACTTTGTAATGTCACATGTGCGGAATCAGACTTGTCTATGAGAATTTCTCGATTATAAGAAGTCTTAATTATTTGAGAAAGATTTTGTACATCTGCTTTTTGTTGTGAACTATGATTATCATTATTAATGTCAGATAGAAGTATATTCGATGGCAAAACTCGAGTTATTGAAATATCAGCTTTTTCTTTATCAAAAACGATTGTGTTTCTTTTATTAGATTCATTTGATTTATTGGTAATCAGCATGTTTTGTGGAACAGCTTGAGTAAAAGATAAGTCGAATTCACTCTGAGATGTTCCTACAGATTTGCTGGTAGCAGTCGATTTATTATGCAGCAATAGATTCATAGGCACAGCTTGGGTAATAGAAATGTTATCAACATCATAAAGAACAGTTTTATTTTGTTGAACACATTTGCTCGCTGCTAAAACATTCGAGGGTAAAGCTTGAGTCATAGACAACTCTCCAGCGTCATTATCATAGACAATCGTCTTCCGCTTTTCTTTTTCTAAAAGTATGTTTGTGATAATTGCTTGCGTTACCGAAATGTTGGCTATGTCACCACTGTCGTAAATTATGGTTCTATGTGAGTTAGTGAAGTCTGTTTTGTTAGATATCACATTGATGGTGGAAAAGTCGATTTCTTTATTTCTTTTTTGGTGTTCATTATTGGTGGTAATATTTTTCCCAGCTGTGGACACACCGGGTGCAGCTGGCACGTCGATAAAATTGGGAAGATCATCATTCAAATTCAGAACTATCGTTTTTCTTTGTTGAGGTCGATCTGGTATATCATTAGGTAATAAAGTTTTGTTGAAATCTTTTTCTTTTTCATTTTCTTCAAAGGGATTTTTATGTTCAGATTGTAATGTTAATCTTTTTCCATCAAACACTAATAGTTGCTGGGGTTCTTCATTAATAGCAAAATTGATGCTTTCTTTTGGTGCTACATAGGGATTCATAACTATATTCTCTTTATCTAATGTCCAATCGTTGTCTATGTCTAGTTTCTTTTCATTTTTGGTCTGGTAATTATGTAATACCTCTTCAACTTGTGGATTGCGAACAGTATCAGTTATTGACATGTCAAACTCGTCGTTCATCACAACAGGTTTCATATTGATATCAAATTCAATTTGTTCTGAAACATTAGTCATTGTACCAAAAGGTCGTTGACTAGAATTAGATCGTGGTATTAATAAATCTTTTTCTATTTCATCTAAATCGTAACACTTATCTTGAGCAGCGCCGACAGGTTCTAGAGATGAGAAATTAATATTGATTTTGTTAGACATTTCTCCCAGCGTTGGATTTGTCAGATCATCCACAAAGATCTTACTCTTATGGTCTGTGAGGGAACTTAGTTCAAAATTAGTTTGAGGAGCTGCAAGATTTCTGTCATCCAAATCTCTCTCTAGGGCAGCAAATTGTTGAGTTAGATTTCCTCGTAAAGACATGTTTAATTCCTGTGCTATAGGATTGTTGGAGGTTATAATATTACCAAGGTTGTAAAATTCTTCTTCTTGGAACTGCTGTTCAAATATCCTCTTGCCCAAATGTCCTACTGTTTGTTTCGGTGGATTCTTTGCAGAGTCATTTAAAGAGGATTCCATTGATTTATTTTGCTCTACATATATAGTTTTCCATGTGTTTGTTGCCTCATCAGTTATAAACTCTCTGAAAGAATAATTTTATTCTATGTTTATTCATCATAATATTAATAAGAGCTATATAAATAACAAAAAGAAACCGGATATTTCTCGGGGATGAACCTTATCCTATGTGTACTCCAGATTTTGTTTTATATCTGTACCAAATTTCATTAATATATGATGAGTCATTGCAGAATGATCGGTTAACATTAAAAAAACTAAATTAATGAATCCCATGGAAACCGTAACTATTCCTGGGATAAAAAGTAGCCTATGTGTTCTTCCAGAATATACTCTAAATCTGTGCCAAATTTCACAGACATCCATTTAGCCATTTAAGCTACAAACACTAACAAACATCCATCCATCCATCATAACTTCCACATTTATATTATTTATATGATATGAAATGAGTGTTTATACCTTTTTTTAAGAACATTCATAATGAATGAACATAAAAAATTGACACAAAAATAATATAGTGAAGTGAAACATTTTTTACAAGGTATGGCTTTTGAGTCTGGAACTAAACAGGGAAACTGTACAATTAAAACATAGGTGAAAGTTTTAACTGTCATTTAAATTGTACAGTTCTCAGGTTTCTCTCATACATTTATAATTTAAGTATTCAGTCCAAGTGTTCAGATGAAATTAAACCTTGGAATGGCATCAAAATCACCAATAGAGATTTTAAATAAGAAGGTAATTGCTACAATAAGACACTTACGCTACGCCGGTGCGCCGAGAGAAACTGACGCGTCGGCTTTTGGTGGTGTCGGGTGGTGTGGCCACATTGAGTTCCAGCTCCGTCAGTGGCGTACGTGGCGGACGCTGGCTCTTCAATATGGATGATCTCCGTTTTCTTCTGGAATTAAAACATTTAATTTAAATAATAAAACAAATCCTTCAGTTCAAGGGAAGCAATAATTGAAACCCTGGACAAATTTTAAGAAACAAGATAAATTTAAAATATATATCAAAGTATGTTGTAGTAAACTACATAACTTTTGAAGGTTTACAATTTTACACAAAAACACATTATGGAAGTTATAACATCAAATAAATACGGTAGGTACTGTTACATTATATTTGAATTAAAAAAAAAAAACATAAGGTAGCTTCTAATTGACAGAATTCCTTTTATTTATAGGCTATTCAACAATGATTTGCCTTTACAGAATAGGAACTCAATAGACAAAGTAATGTGAAGAAAAAACAAAAAAGACTAAATGAAACAGTTAAAATTAATGTATAAAAATCGTTGGCGATTTTAGAATATACTTTAATATAATAGAAAGTCCTTTGGGACTAAAGTTAATCTTATTTTATTTATGAAATAAAAACTTACGAAGCCGTAGCATCTAATAAGCCGTTGCCGTGAGTATCATCCATGATTACAGATTTAATTTATATATCACTTTTAATTTGATTCACTACAAGGGGCCATGAGTCTATCACTCTCAAATATTATATGCAAACCTCACTAATAATAAACAATAACACTTAAATGTATGCATAGGAAAATAAACAAGTTGTATCGTAACGACTTATTTTTTAAATTGACTTAATATAACTTGACAGTTTTTTGATTGTTCCCAATAATGTTGCCATGATTAATTTAATATTTATCACATTTGTTTTTCTTTTCACGAAGTTTCTTCTAGATTTATAGATATAATTTTCTTAATTTACGGTTTTTTCTACTTTTCTAATATTAAATTAAATACTAGAAAAGTAACAACGTTTAACGCTCAATGACGAAAGTATAACGATTTCATCTATAAACATCTATAATGTTCTACAATTCCTCTCCCTATTGCAGAAATTCATTAATTCATAAGAATTCCATTCGTTTCAGGACATGTAACTAAGAAACCTCGAATATTATATATAACGCAATATGAAACTTGTGTTGCAGAGATTGTACAAAAACACGAAGAACAGAAGAATTGGAAATGGAAATTTAAAGACATCATTGGAATCTAAGCAATTTCCAGAAATTAAGACAGGACACTTTAAATTCTTTACATTAATAAGCATGTTCATCACGGATCTGCTTTTTTTAGAAACTATTGATTTCGAATGGTTGCCACTTGCCATTGTACTAAGTAGTTGCCGTATACCATATTATCTACAGTCGCTTGAATTGATAATCTAGGAGTTAGTGGTCTTAAATAACGTACTTGAGCCCAACTTACAGAACATATCCGGTGATCACGGTCGTTGTGGTGAGCAAGAGTATGGTACATACTCCGATCCAGCTGGTAGTGTTGCCACAGCATACGTCTGGTGGTCCAGGCATTGGTAGCTGAACCACGTGGGCTCCGTTTAAGCCTACATTTCTGAAATAACTTATAATTTTTTTATCATTTTTATTGTTTATTACTATAATTTATCATTGATCGATTTGCATTGTCACTAATGCCACTTTGGCAGAAGAAAAGTATATTTCATGCGGCCAGTGTGAGTTTCTAACTTGTAACTATATTGAGATTTTATTGTGAATTAGTAGTTTACGAAAAAACAATAAGCTCGACTGTTTGCATCAATCTCAAGATGCACTGTGGAAATTAAAATAATTTTAACTTACTAATTATGAGCAAAATTATCATTTTATAAGTCACCATTTGGGCAGTTTATTCAGGGTATAACATCGGCTTTCGTTGTTGATTATAAAGAAACAGACCGTAATTGAGTATCATAAATGATTATAATAAGCAAGAATAAGGATGTGTAGGATGTATGATCTGGAGCCGTAAAAAAGAGCTCTAATACTAGCCTTTTGAGGAAAAGAAAACAAGTCAGTAGATGGGTATTTTTTTATTAAAGTCATATTTGGAGTTACAAGAAAATAAATGAATTACAAAAAACACAAAAACTATTTGGTGTCCATTTCACATGTGTTGGTGATGTCGGAGTTTGAAGAGCGAGTATAGCTGGATACGGTCGTATCCGAGGCGCGGCTGCAGTGTCTGCAACGGAAAACGGATGACCATGTAAAACTGTCTCTACTCTGTGCAGTAATTTCGTGACTTCATGTAGTTTCAAATGATTTTATTATATTACTTGATTTTATTTATTGTATTGTCTCAAAACTATAACACGCCTAAATAGCCTAATGATTAAGGGTAGGGATTTCGGATAAAGTGGTCGTGAGTTTGAATCCCGCTATTCACCACAATCCACCTAGCGATACTAGCAAACCTACAGGTACCTATAACGAAATTTTACGTATCAACCTGCTTGTTCACTTGTGTAATGTTTACCCATACCAGTATTTTGAGGTGCATAGTAAATTTTGGGATCAAAGATGTACACAAAATCTTGTATTATTGGCACACCATCCCAGTCCTAGGACAAACCTAGAGCTTAGTTGGAAATTGTAGTAAATGATAAACTAAAATAAAATATTCATTGATTTCTTTTATCATAAAGAGTTATTCCCTTATAATTATCAAGTAAAATGTTAGTGTTTACACGTATGTGATATCAAACCTTTTGCAACACTTGCTCCGCGAATATGTTACATGCCTCTTCTTTATTCTACGATATCGCTTATATTCTTTATTGGCTCCATTACAAATACATTCTTCTTTATCACAATCTTTCTCTTCTAGTCGGCGTTGAAGACGTTGTCGGTAGATGTCGCGCGAATCTTTAGGAGTCACTCTCCATACATTTCTGTTTTTAGTAAGTTGGCATTTCTGAAAAGTAAATTCGATCTTCATTACACAGATTTTTTGAAACGATTTACTCATTTTCCACTATATCGCACGCAAAGGGCTAAGGTATGCTTATGGAATAATATCACTCAGAGACCATACATACAACATGTATGGTCTCTGTATAATGTAATAATTAAATTATCTGAAAAATGAGCCAATGTTTACCTGTTTATTTTTTCGTATTTTACTGTTAATTTTTTTATATCTACGACTTTTCAATTGCCTAAAAAGTTGCATATGAGAAAAGATGTAAATATTAGTACTAAACTTTGGATTTTTATGAATTTTTACGTTTCATGGTTTTCTTAGTTCACGACATTTCTTCTATCACCAATCAATCAACAATCAAAACAAAGAATGACACAGAGAATAATGCATTTCCAAAGGAACCTCCATGAAGATACTCCCCACATTTTATTTCTGTTTACTTTTTATGCATTTCGATCATTTGAGAATCCAAGCACTGTTTGAGTAGGTTTGAGAGAAAGGAAGTAACGTTTGAGATTTCTTACTTTAAAAATCAAATGTATACAGAATGAGATAACAAACCAAAAAAATTAATAATTGGGTGTCTTATAAATGCACGTACAAATTAATTGCACCAAACAATATCATATGTGTGTTCATCATACTTTACATTGAAACTATATTGTAAAGTTTTTCCTTTTTTGGATAAAAGGTGATTTATTTGTTTTATGCAATTAGTTATAACGTATTCAAGTTTCATTTTTAAACTAAAAATAAAACTTTAGTGTGCTTATGTTCTGAAATATTTTTCGAATATCCGAACGTAATTGTCATATGACTGAATTGTACCAACATTATAAACAAGTCCTCCATTTTTTGAGGCAGCTGATATTTGTTTTATAGTTTGCACCCACAAATTTAATTCTATAACTGTTCCAAAATGGGTGCTTCCTTCGTTCCCATCACCGTTTTCACCGTTTTATGGGGCATAGTGGGTATCGTATGTCCTATTTTTGCCCCCAAAGGGCCCAACAGAGGGTGAGTAGTTCTCGACTTCTGAGTATGTGTTATTTTCTTGTAACTTTTTCCTCATCTTCATGTTTCTGAATTCCAGAATAATCCAAGTGGTGTTAATGTTAACGGCGGCAACGTGTTGGTTATTGTAAGTATTGCATAATTTTTACTATGGAAGACTACATAATATTTGCAAGTGAGGCTTTGATTTTATAGTTTTTTCTCCAACAAAGTCTGCGATTCACTTAATATCTTCAGATATTATAACTTTTATCCTTTACTCTATTCCTAAAAGAATGTTCTTGTGTATAGTGACAGTATTAAAATCACAGAAGGTTCAGATTTGTTAATAAGAAAGATATTTAACACGTTTTATTGAAGCATTTAATAATTTCGTGATCTGTCAGTTCATATATCTGTCCTATTACCACCGTATATGTGGTTAACACATCATGGTTAAGTCCTCCATATCTATGTCTGAAAAGAACAAATAACTGCCAGGGCACCGCAGACTTGCATATTTATTAGAATGATGATATGAAATCATCTAATAAGTATCGACATTTGCAAACTTTTACTTTCTAACATTATCAATCCATAGCATAGCCTAATATTCTAATATCTTGGTGGTTGACCTTCAACTGTGCAGTGTTTACTCCCACTGAAAATTAACTCATGCAATGTTTCAAGCTGACGATAATAGAACATTTTAAGAAACATACTTTAAGATATGTGTACTCTTTCCAGCTGGCTGTGTGCGTACATGGCGCAGATGAACCCCCTCATTGGGCCCAGACTGAACAATGACACATTAATCTGGATCGCTCACACCTGGGTAAGTGTTACCCATATTTATGAAGTTTGTAAATGGAATTGTGCTTGTGGTGAAAATTATAATTTCTTAAAAACTGCCATTAAGTTACAAATGATACTTGTGGCTGATGTTAATATTTATTAACCAGTTAACTTGCATTATGTATAACATTGGACCCAAGTCAAAGATTATTCTTGCAGTTAGACCTAGATGTAACACTACTAAAATTGATGGTCTGCAGATAAGCACACAGTTCACAGATCAGTAAATTGGCTTGTAGCTCAGCTTAATTTGTACCTGCATAGAGTTATGATTGGTGTTTGTCACCTGAGAGTCACTGGCAGCTCACACCTTCACAGCTTGCATAATAGCATTGAGCACAAGCTGCCAACTTGGTTCTTGTTGATGTTGGAATAGAGATACAAATGTGATTTACATTTATGTGTAGTTACCTCTAATATGTAGGGTTAAATGACTGAGTACAACATAATCTTACAAGCTTAGTTATAAAATATAAAATCCTTTTAAAAGCCTCTCAGTTTCATTGTCCTTGTCAGATTTCCTTGAAAACTAAATTTGATGTGTTAAAAGTATTGAAAATTTTACATAGATGGCGGTGCTATCAAATTAAAATAATTCTCTTATCCACGCCATCTTTTGATAATATTGTCTAAGTTATGCACTTATAAAAGTGTTTAGTAGTTTTTTTTTATGTATATTGAATTAAACTACAAATATATATATTTTATACCTATACAGAGTAATCATAACCAAAAATATGTTAAAATATATCTTAATATTGTTAAAGAACTAATAATTATTGCCTAGCTACCATAGTTTTGCTTGTTATTTTCCTCATTTGGATTTAAATACATAAATAAATTTGATCGTATATTAGAGGAATACGTAAACTTTGTACCAATTTCTAAGGTATTTACAGAAAGTTATCTGACCACCGGATCATGATTTAGTTTCATTTATGCCCTCACGGACAGCTCACTAGCGCCCTCGATATTAGTATACATGTCACTGACAATTTCATTTATTGTTCATGGATTTATTTTAGAACATTTCAATGTTTAAATTGATAATACAAACATTTTTGTTTATAAGCAATTACAGCCTTGTTATAATTTCCCATTTCTATTGAATTTGATTGTAACGCTGCACGCTTCAAGGCTGATGTGACGTCAGTCGACGCAATAATCATTTCTGCCAACACGCGCCAACTATTATTACTCCACTTTCATGTGACCATTCGTTTTGAATCACTATGGTTTTATTTTGTCTTGGATATTTTTTTATATAGCTTCGTCTTATTATAAAGCAATTTTAACCTTCGACTGAGTCCGAGAATTAAGAAAACACTTAATTATTATCTCATAGGCAGGCCTCCTATTGCAAATTTAGATATTCCAACCTTGTTGTTCTAGATTTTCATAACAAAAATGCATCCATCCAAACTTCACTCTTATATTAGTGGTAAAATATGCAAATATAATTCTTATCACAAGGGAATAAGGATTTAAGTAGCGTAAATGCTTATCCTTGACACTTTTACCTTGATCCTCGCGAGCGCCGCGCTAAATTAATTCTATCAACTTTGTTTAAAAAGTAGGACCGCGCGCACAAATCTTGTGCGATTGTCTACTCAAAATGTGCGTGCGATTGTTTCGCAGCCTATTCAAATCATCACCTTTCTCCTTATCCTACTCCCGTAGTGGCGCAACAGGTTTTATTTCTCCACATAACTCTATCATACGTCATCTCAGTCATCACTCCCTTTTTGATCATTTCACCTTTCACGCAATCCATCCATCTCTTTCTATGTCTACCTCTACCGGTGTACCCTTCCACACTCATAACTAACGTTCTCCTTGTAACATGCGATTCATCCCTCCTCATAACATGCCTATTCAAATATTTAGTTGAAAAACTAAAAATCGAGTAGAATGTGCACCTCCATATAAATTCGTAGCAATCAAAGCGCGACTAAACAGTATTGCGATAGTTAAGTAAAAATGTGCGCGCGCTATAACTGCGACGGCGCGGGAATAGCACGCTAAGTAACTTGGTTCGCAGAAAGTTTAAAAAAAAATGTAGATAATTTATACGTCATTCTAAACAGCACAGTCAAACACGTTGCTACATGTGATAGAATAATATGAAATTAAATATAATTGTTTATTTTCAGGGCAATCCGCTAGAAGCTGGCACCAAGTAAACAAGACGGGGTCAAGTTCGAAGCCCTTTTTAAAACCTTAATGTTTCCAATATGAGTGTTTAAGAATCTATGTTAAGAATACAACACTGACCTCTATTTATCTCCGCTGGATGGGTCGAGTTTAAGACCTCTTAAATGGTCTTAAACGCAATAATCATTGCCAAAATTGTGAAAATCGAACAGGCAGGCACATAATATAACGACTTATAACCTGTCCAGTGGATTATAGAGATCAGTGTCCAATATATGAAATGTTGATTTAATTTTAACAGGAGCAAAGGCAAACTTCTCTTTACAGCCACCAACAATCGTCGGGTTATTCGACCTTTTAATTAGTAAAATATTTTTCTTTTTAAGGTGCTAATTTTGTTTTAATAATTGGACATGTAAAGTTTTTATGAAAAAAAAAACCTTTAATATATGAATATGAAGTGTTGCTACTTGAAATATAATATCATTCCATAGAACGAATACTTGTTCGAATTGCAAAGCGTTTTTACATTAAGTGTAATTATTTATTATCTGTGTAAAATGTATTGTAGATAATTTGCTTAAATAAAATAATAGTCACACATGTGTTTCTTTTTATATATTTCCTACTACTGAGAAAAAATTAAAAACATCTCTACGTTGAAGAATAACGTTTAGGCTCACGCCCAGACAGAGGTACAAAACATTTAGCGGCTTTTTTTAAATGAATCTTAATTTACAAGTTCTATAATTCAACTTATTATAAGTAATAGTTTGTAATATAGCCATGGTTATTTAGTTTGCGTTTATTTACTTTTCTGCCCCTTCCGATGTCTCTTCCTTTTTCATTTTTCTCTCGTTAAAAACATAAACTCATTGTGGATATCTAACGCCAGTAGTAATCAGACAAATCTGAAAAAACCTGTTTCCGCAGTATAGCCACCTCGACAAACTGCAGAATTCTCTGTACATTAGAATACGACGCCAGGAGTTGTCACGTATGACTGTCCAATATAAGTCATTTGGTTATGTTTTTTTTGTTTGTTACGCAAGTTCTGAAAATGTTTGACCTACACTGGTGCTGCGACCTTGCGCGCTCGCATCCAATGCGTGATGAGTGGAATTGTTGGAGCGACGCCAGAGGGCGCGCGTATGGGCACGCGGTCCAACTCGCGGCCTTTCTTATATAAGTCAATGTACGTACTATTTTAAAACTCCATTGTTGAGAGAATGAATTCATTGTAACTAATTATTATGTTACTATTTAGAGTATCGTAATTATAAGACAAATGGAACATGACGTCTTTATATTCGTCTGAGAACAATGTTTCGCGTGTAATTTTTAATCTGTGTTTGTATTTCATCAAATATGTTTTGACCATATTCATACCATATAGCCTAAACGACTGAACCGGTGTCCCATTCTATTTGCATTCTTCCGCGGAATGAATCGGGACAATTAATTTTATGAATTAGTTTGATATCAAAGATGTTATGACGAGCCAATCAGTACATCCGACAGACTGTACGCTGCGTTTCCGTTGTTACTATAATTTGAGGACATACCCAGTATTCAAATACGTATATACATCTCAACTAATATTATAAAGTAGAAAAATTTGTATTTTTTTTTAACATATGGTGACAAACGAGCAAGTGGCCACTAGAATCCGCCGAAATGGCGAAGTGACTTCTGCCCATAGACATCCGCAATTGCAGATGCGTTGCCTACCCTTATACGACGGAAAAGGAGACGCACATAAAGAGGATATTTCCCCTTCCTATGCATCTCCTCCACCGTCAAATCCAGTTCCCCTCCCCAACCTCTCCTTACAAGAAAAGGATGGTAAAGAGAAAGGGACTTAAATTAGGCCTCCGGCACCACACTCATCAGACGAAACACGGAATTGCTTCCATTTCACGCCTGTCTTCTGTGTGGTCGTGGTATTACACCAGGCGTGCCGGCCCATTCATGCTAAGATGTTAAAGCGGGCACTACCACTGTATTTTTGTATGTATTGAAATAACTTAAAAACTACTGTGGCGATTTTAAAAATTATTTCACCGTTAGAAAGGGAATTTACCCGTGAGTAAAATAGGCTATATTTTTGTATTTCATGCGGGCGAAGTCGCAAGCAACATCTACTAAATTACATAAATGTATATAGTAATTCGTCGTCCGTTATCATGGCAGTTGATAAGCCGCTATCTAGAGACGTGTTGGATGAACTTCACGATAACAGCATTAGGCAACGAGGTCAATTACAACTATTGTGGAGTTTTCATTACTTTATATACCAGGGACAGCCAAGCTGTTTGTTCCAAGGGTCGCTTTAATTCGTTTAGCTACAAACTGCGTCTCATGTATAGGTGTTGCAGCATTTAGTAGTGACTACTACGTTAACCGAGATTTACTGCTCACTCTAATAATAAAGAATTACTGAATAAACTATAACGGATAAATACACAATGGACTATTTTCTTGTATCAGTCATTTTATTATTACGTGCGGGCCGTGGCTTGTTCACCACTGCTTTATATAAATAACTTATCAGATTATTAACGGTATTATTCTACTATGTACTCGTCATACTTACATTACTTGCGACATTTGTTATCCAATGCGTTTTTAATAAGTAAACCCGCTCCACATGTCTTGTATGGTATTCGAGTCTGCTAATTCGCAATAATATAAGGCTTTACATAAGTATCAAGATTCAACATGTAATCTTACTAATATTATAAATGCGAAAGTTTAGATGGATGGATGGATGTTTGTTAGCGTTTGTATCCTAAACGGCTGAACGGATCTCTATGAAATTTGTCACAGGTTTAGAGCATAGTCTGGAAGAACACATAGGCTACTTTTTATCCCGGGAATAGATACGGTTCCCGTGGGATTCAATAATTTTGTTTTTTAATGTTTACTCGATCATTCTGCAACGGATCAACATATCTTATTGAAATTTGGCACAAATATAAAACAAAGTCTGGAGTACACATGGAATAAGCTTCATCCCCGAGAAATGTCCGGTTCCCGAGGGATACGTAACTTTTTGTAATTTATATAGTTTGTATGTTTTCTAATACTACGCGGACGAAGTCGCGGGCAACAGCTCGTATAAAAGTATTGTTTAGACTACAGGACTCACGTGTCAAAAGTCACATGAGATGAACTACTGATGTGTCGTCTCGGTTGGTAACAAACGATCATTATTTCTTGGAATTGAAAGTGTAAACTCCGACTTGTAGCCATTGTTTATTATTGTATACACTGCTTCCTACCTGCTACTGGTGACTTATTGTTAGCGCATAGCAATATTGAAATATTTTTATACAAGATATGAATACCTACAACAAATGCACTTTGAATAACTAACGTGTTACAAGGAAAATAAAATATGATATTTGTATATTTTTATGCTAACACTAACTCAACTGTATTACGTTATTTCTCTTTTGGGCCAAAATGATGGTGTTTAGCACCATAACACTTATGTAAAAAAAAACTAGACAGATTATAGAAGTTCAAACAGAATATGTACATCAAGCGCCGTAGTAAAATATTGCCGCACGTCACTGTTACGTAAAGGTGCACGGAAAATGTTCAGAGCTGTTTCCTTCAGTGGATCAATACAGCGGATTCGTTACGTATTCCGGCCTTGCGGGTTTCGGGCTCCCTGCGACAGTGACATAACACAGTACTTATATCAATTTAACAACGTAGATAATGTAAATTGGTTCTAATAAAAATCTTAAAGGCATCAATTTGGGTCTTATTTACTTTGCAGACATTTACACTGTTTTGATTTTAATTACATATTAAGAATTAGAGGCTTTAAATAGTAGGGAGGCTTCTGTAATCTAAGTGACCAGTCCAGAACTACATATTGAAAGTGAAAATTTATATCTATAGAGATAAAAAAATAGGCCTAGAATAGGGATTAAAGACACAGTAAGGATGTTATCTTCAACTATTTTATATCCGGTTTATAAAATCTATTCGAGACTATTATCTACCTATGTAAAGATAATTGTATCAGTGGTTATGTAATGTCTCGAGCGCCATTGTCCGGCGCCGTGCGGTTGGCAGCCCTGCTCAATCGATGCCAGGCAGCAGGCGGCAGAGGTCACGACCTGGATGTTCCTCACTGTACTAGTTTAGGATGAAGCTTCGAGGTTATTGATAATAGATTTTAACCTCATCTTTTCTATTTATTAATTTATTCAATTATAGTAATGCAAATCCGTTACGAATTAGAGATTTTATATTTTTTCGGATAAATTTCCTTATTACAATCTACATTAGACACAAGCTTGTTTAAAAAATCGAGTTGTAAGCGATGCCAAAAAAGGTTAAAATTACCATACACTTATTATTTCTATCAAAATAACACTGATATAGTGCTGTTGCTAGATCTATAAATGTACGTATAGCGTCCTGGGCGGGATTTATACAGCGCTCTTTTTTTTCCATTACTAGGGGGTGGACCGGGGGGTTTAAGAGTGTTATGTAATAATAAGTTAAATACATTTGGCAGTTGAAGTTTTTCAAGTACTCTCGATTTGTGTCTCCCACCGGAGACCTGGAAATCTGCCAGGTGACTGGCGTCTAGACGTACTCTCCTGCAGTGTTACGTAACAGTTTCAAAATCAATGTCATTATTTCTAACCACTGAATAAGAATCCCTGCAATCTGTCTGTTTTTTTAGTTTTAGCAGAATATGCGAATGCTATAATAAATTCAATCCAACTTTAGCAAACTTATCTTGACCGGATTAGATAACCAGATTTAGTGGATTTGTGTGGACCAGTATGGACCGATATTAACTGGTTGCATAAGTCATGTGCAGCACTATGAAAATTATATTCGGAGCGATCTTGAAAAAAAAATTAGCAAAAAATCGTAGGTTCGACGCACCAGGCTTTTATCCGTTTGTAGTTGCTACCTTTCTGCCACCCTTCACGTGATCACAGCCTACCTTAGCTGTACCGTACCCCTTCACGAATTATAAAAACACTAAACACTATTGCTCGCGACTTCATCCACGTGAAATTAAAAAAACACTAAAAAAGACAGCCTATGTTACTCATGACGTAGCTAATAATAAAACATCTTTTTAAATCGACCCAATAATTAGTGAGTTATTTCAATACATACAATGTTTTCTAATACTACCTATTTCAATACATACAATAATACAAATCTTTCCTCTTTATAATATAGTATAGATATAGTTTAAGACACGTTAAAAATCTTAGATTATTCTTCTACTTTTGTTATTAAACACGTAAAAATCGTTAGTTATTATATTGAGGTAAAACCTCCTTTGAGTTAGTATTTTTGGAAAACATTAGACATTTTATTAAAGTGGATATTTACAATAACTGTGTTTGTGCAAAGTAAAAGAATGACTCAATGAGGCTGAGGTCATTGCTCCCAGCATGGTTAACGCATGGAGAACTGGATTACACCGACTTTGTCAAGAAAGTCATATGTCTCCATGTAACAATGAGTGTTCAGTTAGCTTTATCTCATAATATAATATAAGGTGTAATTTAACCGTTTTTAAGGACGAACTTTTACTTGAATTATACGAGATGTAAAGAAATGTCTAGTAATTCCTACGCGACAATAATTTGTTAGTTTTAGATATCGTTTCAATAGAATTCATTTTGAAAATCAAAATCCGACCTTTTTATTTGAACCTGGGCAAATTAGTATTCGGAATTTTCAGTAAAGTATTACGGTAGTATCCAATTATCAGCCATTTATTCAGGATACCTACAGATAGTAAATGCAGTGACGTAATACTAAAGCGAGACGTCCCGCCATTGATAGCCGGTCTAGTGACGTCATCTCGCCGCCGAGTTGCGCACTGCGGTACTACTCCAATGACTTAGTTTTATACCTATATCTACTCTTTGATTTGAAAAGATTAAATTCTTTTTTTGATCACATTGAAAAAATAGTCTATAGGTTATGTAACATTTTTTATTGTACTCAGGTCATTTCATTTCAACTGTTCTTTAAGTTAACAATTAAGAATGTTAAGACGCAGACCAGTGATGTCTAATATTCTAAAGTTTCTAACTCTAGACACTAATATACCTATTTTAGCAAAGTAGTTATTAAAATTCCCAACTTAATGAATTAACTTGATTTGTTAAGATCTGGTTCAAGGTTTTAGTAGATAAGCACACCTAATTAATAAGAATGTATAGATGATACTTGTAAAACAGGACAGAAAAGAAACAATATTATATTTTTCAACATTTCTATATTATAGTCACTCGTACTGTGTGAATTTTTCATAACAAAAAATGTCACACCGAGGATACAATTGATGATTTTATATTTGCAAACCACTTCCTACTTAATTTATCTGCACTGAATGTTACCTGGTTACAATTGCCCACATGTTTGTCAACTACAGTGATGCACTTTTACAAAGTAATTAATTTTACTACATGCAACCACTCACACTGCATAGCACAAGAAACATTTCAAGTCTGCATGTTACATAACATAATCACATGATTTAGGACAATTCACAGCATACTCTATGGACTGTTACATAACACCAAGGTTAGAGTGAACTTAAAATAATTTAAAAGAAAATAACATTCATGAATTTTGTAGTATCACAATACAAAAGAGGATGGTTTAGATGGAATTATAACTTATAACCTTGTCCACAAATAGATGTACAGAGGTTATTACATAACTATCACTGGCAGCGATAGTGATCACAGAAAAATAATTTAAATTTGGAACATTCCTAAATCTCATATTCCAAATATGCTTTCAATTAATTCAAGCGATTATGTAACTTCATTTTTTTTAATAAAACAATACAAGTTGGAATTAGTGTATAACACTTTTATTTAACTAGAAATAAGTTACTAAGAGTTGTTTTTTCGCTTCTAATAATACATGATTTCGAAGGTGTGGCTATCAAAGGTGATTCGGAATCACAACTGTAATAATGGTAACAATTCTTACACTATATTTAGAGGAGCTTCTTGATCTCGTCGTAAAGGACGAGCACGAAGGCGCCACCGGTTCCTCTGAGGACGTTCGAGAAGGCGCCCTTGAAGAAGGCGGAGGTACCCTCGGTCTTGGCGATGGTTGCCCAGCAGTGCAGAGTGTTCTTGTACAGGATGTCGGCCTTGGCGCGTCCGGACTGCATCATCATGCGCCTACGGACCGTGTCGAAGGGATACGACATGATACCAGCTACGGTGGTGACGGTCTGCGCGATCGCCCAGCTGATGACGATGGGAGTGTTCTTGGGGTCGGGCAACATGCCACGAGCGGTGTCGTAGAAACCGAAGTATGAGGCACGGTAGATAATGATGCCCTGCACGGACACACCGAAGCCTCTGTAGAGACCGACCAGGCCATCGGACTTGAAGATCTTGCTGATGCAGTTTCCGAGGCCGGTGAACTCACGCTGGCCCTCGCCTTTGCCGACGTCGGCAGCGAGACGGGTTCGGGCGAAGTCGAGCGGGTACACGAAGCACAGGGAGGTGGCTCCGGCGGCACCGCCAGACGCCAAGTTACCGGCGAAGTAGCGCCAGAACTGGGTGTGCTTGTCTACGCCACCGAGGAACACCTGCTTGTACTTGTCTTTGAAAGCGAAGTTGAGGGCTTGTGTGGGGAAGTACCTGATGACGTTGGCGAGGTTACCACGCCAGAATGAGAGCAATCCCTGCTCCTTGGGAATGCGGACGAAGGCGTCGATGATACCTTTGTAACGCTGGTCCTCGGCAATTTGCTTGCTGACGTGCTGTACCTGCAAAAGCAGTTTTACACGCTCGATGGGCGCCACCGCGGTCTTGGAGACGGCAGCTGAGATACCACCGGCGAGGAAGTCCTTCGCGAACGCAACCGGATCGGCGAGGTTCGACATTTTGTTGAATTTGATGGGCTCTTCACGCAGTAAATGCGGGCGTCGAAGTGAAGGTTTTACGGTTCACACACGGAATAGCAAAACCACGAAACACCAACTCCCGATTTATGTAATCAGGAGATATAGAGTAATTTCGTGATCTCGGGAGCACAGGGGTAGGTGTGTGCCTTTTTTGAAATTCGATCGATCACGTTCTCTCGCTGTTCTGGCTTGAGGAGCGGCGCAAAAGAAGGAAGGAAGGGGTCGATGTTGCCAACTTAACGCAAAGTACCACGAGGTCAGTGTGGCTATTAAGTTTACTAATTTACCTAAAACTTCCATTTTATTTAATTTTTGATTTAAAAACAAAACAAAAGACAATGCGAAACTAAAGTAAAAAAAATAGTATTTAAATACGTTTTGATTAAAGAAAACATTGTTTTTTTTTTCAAAACACCATAATAAAAAATTATACACCTAAATTAACATCACTTGTAACTTGATCGTATCGAATTTCGATTTGAAATTATTTAATATTTTAATTTAAATGCGTCCAAGACAAAAATAGCATCTAAAAAACAATTTCAAAAATTAATATTCACACAAAATTCCCAAAAATGAAGGTGGTTTGGAAAGTTATGGCAACGAAATAATTTTGAACGGGATTTGCGTTTTGATAATGGTGAAATTTTAAAAATGGAACGAAATAATATTTCGTTCGTTTCTGTGTTATTAATTATGATGGGTTTAATTGTCGTTATTGTTTTCTTCCGCTTCAACGATTTTCAGTTATTTGACAAACCTTTAGTAACAAAAGGTGTTTTATTTCTTTGTTTTGATGTTTTTAATGGCTTTTATAACAAAAGTAACTACAACTGTAGTTTTGCATACAGTAAATATGTTTTTAAATGGCTATTAGGATTACACAAGATTTTTACTTTTGTAATTTTTCAAAACGCACGAGTAAAGTGTCGCTACATGTTCGAATTACGAAACTGCCGCATCATCGTAAAGTTGGCGCTTGGGGGTAAAATAAATGTGATATTTAATCTGTATAACAGCAAATCATCGTCTTTTTATATTCTGTGGAAAGTAAAAGCACATCCACATCCGATTCCGATTTATTCTTTGACAATAATAAGTGAAGTGTCAAGTGGTGGGTAAATTATCGGAATAATTGTTTTTTATTTAACTAAAAGAGAGTTTCAATTCGTAGGTAATTATTATGGTATCGCCGTCTGTCGCAATGGAGCCAGACAATTGTGCCGGTCATGCTTTAAGTGATTTTCTCATGCAACTGGAAAACTATAATTCTTCAATACCAGAATTTGTTGTTGCATATTATTTGAATGCATCTGGATTTGAATCACAAGATCAAAGGTGATAATAATATTAATTAAACTTTAAACCATTAGAAAATAATTTAAACCAATGTTTTAACTATAATAACAATGATGACCTCGACCTTTTTTCTGGTCACAATGATTTTCTACTTAAATTTCTTACTTATAAAATTGTATAAATTGCTTTAAATTATCTGTGTAATTGTTGTTACGAAATGTATCCCACTTGATGTCATTATCTTATTTTCAATTTGCATAGTTAAGGCTTCTTGAATTTCATGATACAAGCATACATTCACATAGTTATTTTGTATAACTATTTAGATTATTTTACAACAATAGATGGAGTTTATTATAATTTTGTAAAATGTTCTTTTCTATCCTATCCTAAACTGTTATTATTTTATTCTTAACTATTCTCTTTTATTCTATGATACTGATATTAACTTTTTAGAGAAAGTACTGGTTGAAAAAATTTAAAAATATGTAGTTGAGGCATTGTGAATGTATTAATGTATCTGAGTCTATTTTAAGGACCAATTTCAAAAGCTGTACTTAATTTATTATAATATTAATATTTTAATTAAAAATTTCAGATTAATAAGATTGATTGCACTGGCAGCTCAGAAATACCTATCGGATATAGCTAATGATGCTCTCCAGCACTGCAAGATGCGTACCAACAGTCAGGTCGCACAGAGCTCTAAGAACCAGAAGGGACCCAAAGAGAAGAAGTATGTAATGACCATGGACGACCTGGTGCCTGCGCTACAAGAATACGGCATTACAGCTAAGAAGCCACATTATTTCGTTTAATTATCTGTGTTGTCGCACATCATAGTGTGAATTCAATAAGTTATACAGTAGGATCTCTATATTTTGAATTACCTTAAGACATAAAAACACAAAAACATAAATATGTTTTATATAGACCTTAGTAAACCACAGTTATCTGATTTGAACCTTGTTTTAGATTTAATTTAGATAAATACTAATTTCTTTCTTAATTTAGTAATGTTAAAAAAGAACTGTAGATTTTTGGGTGTCTAATGTATATTCATGTTTGATGCATCGTAATTAAATCTATTATTGTTTAAAATGTTATGTTCATGAATAATCAAACATACTTTTGTTTAAATAGGAGGATCAATGTTGTTTCTTTCCCAAGTCACTCTTAACAACTCATCTATAATTTTCATCTAACTTGAAACTTTGGTTCTGTTGTTATGCAAAATTAATTTAACTAATATTATAAATGCGAAAGTTTAGATGGATGGATGTTTGTTAGAGTTTGTAGCCTAAATGGCTGAGCATATCTGGATTAAGTTTGGTATAGATGTAAAGCAGAGTATGGAAGAACACATTGGCTACTTACTTTGTTTTTTTTTTTAATACCACGCGGATGGAGCTGCGGGCGAAAGCTGGTGGTCACAAAATCCTATGAAAAAAAAAACTGTATAAATTGTTTCAAATATCTTATTGGCTCGAGATAATCGACGCGATGCACATAGCCCTTCCCAATTTGCCCTGAACACTTTAACTGTCTTTTATTTGTGTGATCTTTCAAACTGACAAGATAAATGACTGCAACATTATCTATTGGTTAATTTTCTTTACAAATATAACCAGAGTATTATCCATATAAACTACTAGCTATTGCTCGCGACTTAGTGAAATTAAAAAAATAATAAAAAAAGGTAACCTATCATACTCAAACATAAATGACCTTTCTAATGGTGAAAGGATTTTTAGAATACAAATCTTTATAATATTAGTATAAACTAACTATGTTGCTTGCATCTGGTTCACTTGGAAATATTTTTTCTATAAAATATACCCATGTTACTCAGTTATAACAGTCATTTATCGATAAAAGAGTTATTTAAATCAGCCCAGTAGTTATTGAGTTATTTTGATACATACAAAAATACAAATCTTTCATCTTTAGAATAATAGATAACATTGATGTTTGTCAGAGGTTCAATTTCAAGAGGTTCTACTGTTGCTATAGCTAGGCAAAACTTAATTATAAGCACTTAATATAGTGAGAATGTTATTTAGAAAATAATCAATTACAATTCCAATGTAAACATTATGACACATAAAGATTACTCCAGCTTACTCTTACTTCGTATTTGTATCTTGTCTTAATAGTTAATAATAGCGATTTCTTATAGTAAATAGATGGAAAGGAAAAGTAAACTCAACAGAAAAGGTCATTAGATTGTACAATTCCCACTTTAGGCTCAGAGCTTCCCATAAGTTAGGGGTGACTAAGCCACAGTCAACTATGCTGTCCCATAAGAGCTTCATAAAAATTTCTTTACAGATATGTGAAAGTCGCATCACAATGTTTTCCTTTGCCGTAAAAGCCAGCTAAATTTTCATAATTCAAAAAACGAAAAACATTTGAGTACATGGCAGAAATCATACAGAGGACCTAAAGTGTTAAAGTTAAGTCAAGATCCTTGAGTCACTGAGGAGGATAATTTGAGATCTTTCTGTACTTAGTCTCCCAATTTAAGTTAAGCGAAAATTGACATCCTTATACCTAGTTGATGTGTATGATGACGGAAGTCGGTTTTCACGACCCAACTTAAAGTTTTGCTGGTCTCCTTTCTATTATAAAAAATAAATAGTAATAGTGTGTGGTTTTTGAGTTGGCACATCAGATATAAGAGTTCAAAATGAACCAACTCAAATTCTGTTTACTACATTTATGTTACTTTAAGTGTGATATGTGTTTACCCTTTCAAATTAAATAAAGTAGTAATTAAAAATATAGTTTCATATTATGCTAACCACAATCAAACAAATGTAATAGATTCCTTTAAAAAATTAAATCTAGTAAATCTGAACTGAAGTTTATAATTGTGATACTTCCTTACTTTTAATTTAAGCAAAGAACAAGACAAGTTTTAATGTGTGCTGAATAACATGAGATGTTATATCATATCTTGGTCTTATCGCAATAATGTTGTTGTAACTGTTAATTTTTAAGGCTTCTGCCATCTTGTCTTTGGATTCATATTAAATTTAAATCATCACCATCTTACTATATGTCCCCACCGAGAAGCTGGGGCTACGCTTAGGGGTGAAAAATTTATAATTTTCTTAAAAAAAAAATAAAAGTTGATATCTTCAAATGTTTTAACAAACTTGTCAGGTTCTAGTGGTTTATATACATCTCATGTTATTTCACATTGTTATTGTATTGTTATAACAAAGAAATGTAATATTTTAAGATAAGGTGACCTGTAACATCTATGTTATGTTTTCCATCATTAAAAATATTCAGTCACAGAAATTTGGTTTTACTTATTCTAATTTGATCTGTAACCCAATGGAATGTTGATGGGGTTATGATTGTGAAAAACAAAGTCAAATGCATTTTTTACATTTTAATGGTTAACAGTTATAAAAATATACAGTTTCTTATGATAATTTTTTTTTAATACAAAATACTGTTAAGTAGTCTGTGTATTTATCCCCACTAAGTTTTACATCTGTGCAAAATTTCTTCAATATCTGAAATATTAGTAAATTAACAAAAATCTACTAATATTAAAGAATCATTTATAGTATTAACTAGCTTTTGTCTGCAACTCCATCCACATGGAATACAAAACACAGTAGGCTAGGTGTTTCACCAGACTATTTTCTACATCTGGCCCAAATTTCATCAACATCTATGTTGTGACTTAAATTTCAAATTTACAACCATAGAGTAGTATTTTTTACACTTTTTATTCCACTTTTTTATAAACAGCCTTTAAATGTTGACTTAAAGGTTTTTTATCAGTCTTCATAAACACAGTTACTTGTAATGAGTCAGGTGATAGTAAAATAAATTCTCTCAATAGATTTGTAACTTGTGGAGGCTTGGAGAATGATGTTCGAGCTATACTGACTGAGGCTAGTTTTATTTCTTTTAGATTACAGTCATAGTGACCCTCTTCGATAGTTGTAAGACCAATGTTGTGACTCACTACGAGAGCAACTTTTTCCTTTTCAGGATATATACGGAGGAAGCCTCGCTCCTGATGCATCACTGTGCCCTTCTCAGGATGGTGGGATATTGATAGAAAGTTGAACATAGGTTGACCTGAAGTACAACAGAAAGAAATATTTTAAAAACATAAATAAATTGCTTATGCTAGCAATAGTATTATTTGACATATAATAGTTTAGTGATATACTAAAGAAAGGCAATCTCAGGTAGTCGTCACCAACGATTTGTACAACTAGGAGTAAATTAACCAAAGTAAATTGCAAATATTGATGAAAAAAGTGCAGTAATATTGTAAATACATTATTAATAAAATTTTAAGTTTTCAAAGTAATGTTTTAACATTATGTGTTTGTTTAAAAAAATTATTTTCTTAATAAACTTACCAAGGCATATAAATTCTAGCTCTTCGTGATATCCAAACTCGCGTACACTTGGATAAGAACCGCGGCCGGTGACAGTGTACCAGCGCCCGGAAAGCCACGCTATCGGCTTTAAAGCCTCGTGTATACAGTCCGCTTCCATTTTTGTTCAATAAATCTTTATCTACTTCAATGTAAACTAAAATCGAAATAAAATAACTATGGGCCTAAACTTTGTAAGACTGTCAATGTCAAATGTCAATGTCAATTGGACCAGGAAGTAATATTATTGTTTTTAATTTTTCACAGATTAAGCTTTCTCTAGTATTTTAATCATACTGATTAAAATAATGACAAAATCATATACCATGTACGTTGATTTGCCAAAAGTGTTTATATGTCTACAGGTTATTGATTATATTTATTGTATTCCCGTTAGGAGGTAATAAAAGTAATATCTTTTGTGATAAGTTTGACCCCTACATACGGTATACAAAAGTTAATCGTTTTCGACTTAACCCTGATTTCTTGGTTTTTTAAAATAAGTCAAAAATGCCACTTAAAAATATTTGTTCAATAAAAAACTATTAATGATAAGTTTTAAATGCGATTTTCGTTATCGGCAATGCAAATACATCATCTTCCCGAAATCTGGAATTTCTCTAATGACATTACAAAGCGACACTCCAATTTTATTACGTGTATATAGATAGATAAATACCTACCAATAATGTGAATCAATAATTCAAAAAAATAGAATACAAAGTTTTAATTGTTAATAAACTAAAGAATCTTAATTTTAAAGAATTTTTGTACAATTAATATTTCAGTCATTACAATTTAAATTTTATTTCGTATGCTTACAAATCATTTTCATTGCACTCGCAGGTGCCGGTCATGAGGCCAGCGCACTCCAGGTGTTTGAACGCTGGAGGGTAGCGACACGAGCACTTTGGAGGCGTCTCGTCCGTGGCACCTAATTCAGTTTGTGGAAGTGGATATTCGAAGCCGATAGATTTATCGACATACTCCGGCTGCGGAGGTTCCTTACAGAACCTGTTGTATCCAGTCGACGGACTGCGGTAGGAGATTTTGTGCAGGCCGTCTGTCGCCGACGGCCGCTGCTCGCTAGTCCGAACCGAGGACGTTGGGGACATCGGCGATCCTGCGCCGTAGTCCATAGGAATGTTTCTGCTGCTCCCTATGGATGTACTTTCGGCCAGCGGTCTGCCAATGGGGTATCGCGAAGAGAAGGATTGACCCGTTGACGGGGGTGATTCCATCATTGTCTCATACCCACTGGGCGTTGGTTGATAGCCTCTTCTAGATCTGTCCAACGCAACAGAGCGTGTGTCGTCTCTTTCTGGCGCTGACGGTGACATAGGCATCTGTGTATCGTAAGTTGCGTCGGGTAATGCGTGATGTACAGATTTTTTTGGTGTAGGCTCCGCGACAATACTTGGTTGATACCCCGTGCGTGTATCCGCCTGATATGGAGCTCCTGCACGAATACCGGATTGGTATGGAGCTCCTGGACGAGCTTCGGGTTGGTATGGGACGCCCACACGGGCATCGGACTGGTATGGAGCTCCCACACGAGCATCGGACTGGTATGGAGTCCCTGCACGAGCATCGGACTGGTATGGAGTCCCCGCACGAGCATCGGACTGGTTTGGCGCTCCCACACGAGCATCGGACTGATATGGAGCCCCCACACGAGCGTCGGACTGGTACGGAACTCCCATACTGATATCAGCTTGGTATGGAACACCCTTAATTGTATCAGCCTGGTACGGTACCCCCATACTAGTATCCGCCTGGTATGGAGGACGATAAACCGACCTCGCGAGTCCCTCTGTGGACACGGGTTGTGAACCCGGTATTCTGTCCGACAGCGCTGGCGATGATTCTGAAACGTATCTGACGTAAGAACTATCCGAAATAGGTTGTTGCACTCTAGTGTCTTGAATTAAACCATGTTTTCCCCGCGGCGATAGTGCGGAGGGCCTATCGGAGGGAACATATTCTGAAGTATATTGTGGCATTCTTCTGGGTTCATCATGTAAGATAATAGGTCGTGGTTTCATCCTGTCCGCCGAGGATACTGCGGACAAAGAATACTTTTGGCCATAATCTATTCGAGGCGGCGGCAGACCGCTAGAATACATTGAATCTTCAGGAGCGGGTCCTAAGCTGTATTGCGCAGGAGAATACCCACCTACTTGTTTTTCGGCTCTCGGAATGTTAACGTAGCCCTCTTCCTGCGAGACAGGGATGGGTCGTCTCGGAGCGGGGTAGTCGTAACTCGGCATCGTGTCCTGCTGTTGGCTATAGTACGGTTGATACTGATCTGGCATTTTTCTGATTTGAATACTCGGTCCACTTGTAACAGATACAGGTGAGGGCATCGTTTCGGATCTAGGTAGCATTCTCTGTTGCATTAGAGCCTGGGGTTCGGGAGATACTGGCATCATTCTTCCTTGCATCGGGGGCTGATATTCGGGAGATATTGACATCATTCTTTCTGGCATTTGTGCTTGAGATTCCGGCGATATTGGCATCATTCTTCCCTGCATTTGAGGATAGGCTTCGGAAGACATTGGTATCATCCTCCCTTGCATTTGAGGCTGGGATTCGGAAGTCATTGGCATCATCCTCCCTTGCATTTGAGGCTGGGATTCAGAAGATATTGGCATCATCCTCCCTTGCATTTGAGGCTGGGGTTCGGAAGACATTGGCATCATCCTTCCTTGCATTTGCGGCTGGGGTTCAGAAAACTTTGGCATCATCCTTCCTTGCATGGGTGCCTGATAATCAGGAGATATTGGAGACATTCTCCCTTGCATTGGGGCTTGAAATTCGGGAGGTCCGAAATCTTGTTGCATCATTGGCACCTGCGCAACATCCGCGGGAAGAGGCTGCGCGTATTGCGGCATGGATTGATCGAATTGATCCGGAGCTCTACTATGTATTGAAGATATTGTGGGAACAGATGGATACCCGCTTGGTGAGAATTCCGGAGCCAGTTGGGCTTGCGGTGCCATATAGGGTGTGGATACTGCTTGCGGGTATTGCGCTCTCATTTCTCTCTCTTGAGAGGGACGATATTCGAGCATCTCTTTACTGCGGACTTGATCAGATCTCAAATCGGTACCGGATTTATCTTTGAAGCCGTACGGGCAATACCGTAACTTTGCAGTAATGCATTGGGGCGCGTTCTTGCAGCTCTCTACGGTGCAGAACTTCTCCTCCGCGCAGGAACAGTCGGAGTGGCTGGAGCTGGAGGCGGTGATGTGCTGGGCGGACGGGCAGGGAGGGCAGACGGCGCAGTGTGGCATGCAGCGTCGCGGCATGCTGTCGATGCAGGGCCGCGGCGCCGGCATGCAGCACATACCCTTCCTGCGCCATCGTCGCCTGTGTTTTTGTTGAGGCATCTCCTCGAGCCGGATGATATGTTTAGGCCGCTATATTCCTATAATCAAATAAGATTTTAAGCAAATGCAACACCCTTCTGTGAACTTTTCAGAATATAAGTAGTTACATGTAAAAGTGAAGTAGAGTGAGAAAAATGTGTTGGGATAGCATAAAATTAAAATCTCGCCTACCACGTAAGAGTTGACAAGACCCCTTTTTGACTCTGTGCGACTTTATCTACACGATTCTCCTATAACTTACCTTAATTTGATATTGGTCTGTAATCTGTATTATTCATGGCCATGTTTCTATTTTATTTATGTGTCATTTTCTGGATTGTTAATTATGGGTGTTTTGGTAGAGATGTCTATTGATTTAATTGACTCGTCTGTCATTATGGATTTTCTTCTTTTGTAATATAGATAATAAATGAAAAGAAAACATTGAAAACTAACACCTGCATACACCATTGAAGATTTATGTGACCCACAGATTACTGATTTAACTGTACACGCCATCTAGTATCGAGTAGTAGAAACCTTGACCTTAAAGGAGTAAAAATCAATTTTCTTACCTTTTAAGATTATACCTATAAAGAGGGTGTTCTTGTATTGTTACATTTTTTTCTATAACTCTTTGGTTTTGTTTTGTCAATTGATAAATTGACGCTTTTTTATCAAAAATATATCTATAATTTGATAACATTTGTTTGATTCCTACGCCACTATGAGCTCCAAGAATGACTATTTTTGTGAAGATGCGACATCTGTTGTTGAGCAGTCAGATTACTTGCAAAATCACGAACTAGCCATCGCTATCAGCGATTAATTATCACAAATTGATTATTAGATTTTGCCTTAGCCATATGTTTTAGCAAATTTTTCAGAATATAAATTTTAATCAATGTAGGATTTGGATCCTGGCCCATTTCCTCGATACACTCCGTCTTCTTTCTTACGAAACAACGAAACAAGACATCAGAGTATGCTATTACAGGTTTTGGTTGCTCATTATATTTAAACGCTATTGCAATATAATACGTTATTTAGGACTTTGTAGTGAATTCCCCCATGCTGTATCTTTTTTTGAAAATACCAGCTTACTTATTAGACTTTTTTATTATCTTTTCTAACAATTGGTGAAAACCTTTTTTTACCTATATTTGTTTTTTAATTTACCTAATTACCTTTTTCTAACATGGTATCCCGATTCCTGTCAAAAGTTTCACGTGATTATATAACATCTGACATGTCCATGGCGCTTGCGTCGACAGCTTAGTTCCTTTAGCACTGTGCAAAAAGCGCGGTGCGGTGTATTCTGCATTTCCATCGGATTTAAGACATGTAAGTACTTGTATATTTCGTTTTCTATATAAAAACTGATCCAAATGAATAAATATAACATTATGTTTTACAAATTGAAGTTAAAACGCAAATTTTGAGGGTTTTTAAGTGTTAATTTTTTCCTTACGTAACGTATTAGAACATTATTTGCACATGACCTTGCTCCATTTGGGATTCCCGATTATGATAAATAATTGTAGTCAAAAAGATATCAATATGCGTTTGTAATTCGTTCATTGATGATTCTCAAATTCTTGTATCTAGACGGCCGCATTGACGTTTGATCGATTACATGCTGTGGGTATTGATTATTAGTTAACATGGATACAAACGTCTTTAGTGACAGGATTAAAGATTATTCAACGACTTATTTGTAAGTAAAGTGATAGGAAAGGATATAGGAACCTTTATGTATTATTATCTAACAATGTTACAATGAAATATTTGACACTGGCAATGACATTTATAACCTCATCTAGGTCGACAAATAATGAATTAAAAATAAAAATGTTATTTTTTTTTTAAATTACGTTTTGTTTCAATTAATTCTCAAAGTATTTGAATTAATACAATAATTCAACAATTGATTGTCTCTTTAGATGAACTGAACCTATATCTTCATGTTTTTTCTCAATTGCGTGAATTCTACAATAATTAACACATGGCACCAATATATAATCTTCTAAGATTAACTTAACATTTATTGTCTATGGTAATATTTAGGAATATGCAAGATTTTTTTATTTTAGAAAAACACCATGAGAATTTGAAATTTCATTCTAATTGTCTTCTTGTAGAAAAAGAAAATCAGTCTAGTTCCTGTTTTTTCCATGTTATTTCTCAAATGTGACTTTTAAGCAGAGTTAGTTTTTTTTTTATTATGCATAGGAGTTTTAGAAGACTAGTTGTGTAATAAAAATGTTTATTGAAAATCTTTGTTATTCCAGTAAAATGTTCTCATCCCTGCTGGATGTGGCGCGGAACTCGCCCTTCCGTGGGCCCCTCTCCCCCGCACAGTGCGAGCCCGCCATTGCTGCACCACAAGCTGCACAGGTAACATTAACTAACATCTGACAGAATTAATTAACAGTTACATCTGAAAGAATTCTGTGTAACATGTAATGTGTTTTATACCTATTTAATATGTAGAAGCTTAGAAATGACTAGCTTTTTAATTATTTCCTCTTACTAATGTTATATGCTTTAAAATAACATAGCTGTTGGATCTAGTGAAAATTCAATGCATAAAACAATTGTTGCCCAATGATGAAAACTCATGCCGGAGGGGAGCTGCAGTGTGGGGGGGAGCTGGTACGATGACGTCATCACGTCATTCTACCTTTGGTAGCATGTCCAGTGCCCACCTGCACTGCAGAGATGCCCAATGATCAATAGATTATGAGAGCTGAGGGCTTACTAAGGATTTATTTTTACTGAATATAAACATTTGTGTGTTTATAATGTTCGTAAAATATGGGTTTCTTATAACAATTGGGTTGTTTTAGCTCCCCATATTTACGAACATTATAATTGTAATAGCCACGACATTTTAAAGTTATATGTGTTAGATTGTTGAGCTGTAATAAAAGTTGATTTATTTTTAAGTTCGAGACAGTCAAATGGTTAGATCCAGGTCTGCGGTTGTTGTTGTTGTTACTGTTGACTATTAGGTTATTGGCTCTTGGACACCATCTTCTGTTATTTTTGATGGACTGTATGGAATATTTCGTGTTACGTCAGATCGGCATGGCGGCGGCGGCGGAGGTGCAGGGTGATTCGTGCGAATTCGCATCGCCCAAGTACTTCGCCCTGTGCGGTCTCGGGGGCATCCTCTCTTGTGGTATGTACATTTAATATCTTTAGATAAAGTATGAGACAGACTGTTTTACAAACTTTACACTATTACAAATAGACACACAAACCAGAGGTTCTCAACCTTTTTTTTTCTCATTATTTCAAAGTTTTTACTGATTTAAGTGTACCAACGTTTTTTTAACTGTATCATTGCCCGATGATGACAACTGTTACTGGAGGGGGGCTGCGGCGCGGTGGGGGGTGGTCCGGTGACGTCAGATGTCGCTCTGCCCCGCGGGTAGCGTGTTCCTACCTCAACCGCTCTGCAGAAGTGCCCTATGATATACAGATTATGAGAGCTGAGGGCATTTTAAACATTAAAACTATTGCTAGAAATAAATGTAACTAATTTGTTTGCGCAATTAGAAAGTGATGTAATGAAGAAGGCAATTGAAGAACCGTTTAGTTTGTTTATGCTATGCTGCAGGTATATCAACATCGAAGACAATATTCACTCGTAATCTATACTAACATTATAAAGAGGGTTTAAACAGTGGTAGTGCCTTCTTTAACATCTTAGGACTGCAGGGCCGGTGTAATACCACGACCGTACAGAAGACAGGCGTGAAGTGGAAGCAATTCCGTGTTTCGTCTGATGAGTGTGGTGCCGGAGGCCTAATTTAAATCCCTTTCTCTTTACCACCCTTTTCTTATAAGGAGAGGATGGGAAAGGGTAGTGGATTTGACGACAGGAGATGCATAGGAAGGGGAAATATCCTCTTTATGGGCGTCTCCTCCTCTGTCGGATAAGGGTAGGCAACGCATCTGCAATTGCGGATGTCTATGAGCAGCGGTCGCTTCGTTATTTTGGCGGCTGCAGGCGGCTGCTTGCTCGTTTGCCACCTTATGTTATTAAAAAAAAGGAAAAATTTCCAACAAATAGGCTGTTGTTTTAAATTTCCCGTGGACGAAGTTGGTAGCAACAACTAGTGACAGAGAGTAAAGACAAGTTTCTATTGAAGTGTAAAGCGGTTGTCCTATGATATGATAAGACTACGTAAGTTTGAAGAGCTCTGAGATTACTGTAGAGATAAGTGTTTGTGATAAGAAAACACTGAGTTAGTCAATTACGTCAAATTATGTCAATCTAGTATACTAATGTATTAAAATTGTAGTAAAAGTATTTTAAATGGTGCAATAGGAAAAATGTAACGTGAAGAGAGGAGTTTTTTCAAGTGTAGGGTTACGTAAGGATAGGATAACAAATGTTTTCTAAAGCTGATTTTTTGAGAATACTTTGTTTTTTTCGCCTCATTTTTGTGTTTTTAATAAGGTATATGAAGATAAGATCTATCGATGGTATATGTTTAGTTACCTTGGCCGCGCTCCAGAGCTGTCGTAACGCGTAACCTTGTTCATCGGTCTCGTTGCATTATATAGATTACTACATACGAGTATATAACCAATGTTACGTTTATGAAGAAGTGGATTCCTTAAACAATTGCTAAAAAACTTTGTGTATATATATCCTAAGACCTAAAAGCATATGTTCTTCTAGACTATGTTCTATATATTTGTGAAATTACACGGAAATCTGTGTTTTGAAGGTAAATAATACAAACATTCATACAATGTTTCGCATTTATAATATTAAAGTATGCTTGGAAGTCGGCAGCAAGGAGAGGGCAGGCATCAGAAGCCTCTGCTACTAGCAGTGTTTTTTTTTATTTCAAAGAGCTTCAACATATCAAATTATTTAATGAAGGAACGGACATTTTAAGTGAATTATCTATAAGGATTTATAGACATTTTTTACTGTAGTTTATATGTCTTTTTTATAATTTCCGACTCCCGAATTAATAGAGGGAAGTTGCCTCCTTACCTTTTGCGATTCTCATGTTGGTATGAAAAATGGTTAACTGTAATCAAAGACATTTAAGAAATATACAGACTAGGCATTGTGAACAGCATTTTTTCACAAGTACTTTCTCTGAAAGGTACTACATCAGTTTTTAAGTTTAGTGTTACTACATTATCATCATCTCCCCTGCCTTATCCTACTCCTGTAGGATCGGCGCTTCGCGTTTCGTCCTCCAAATAACTCTATCATCCGTCATCTCAGTTATCACTCCCTTCTTGATCATGTCACCTTTCACACAAGCCATCCATCTCTTTCTATGTCTACCTCTACCGGTGTACCTCCACATTCATAACTAACGTCCGTCTTGTTACATGCGATTCATCCCTTCTCATAACATGCACATACCACTCTAACCTTTTAATCCTAATTTTTTCAACCAGTGGGTGTACTCTCAAACCTAAAGACATCTAATAAAACATTTTACAAATTATAATAAGCTCTATCTGTTGGTATAAAGTTTAAAAAAAAAATATTTGCTAAAGAGATTATGTTAAATTTTTTTTAGTAAAGTATCAACTATGCCTGTATATATTTTTGTTTAATAATGTGGTATTATTTAGGTATAACTCACACTGCTGTGGTCCCCTTGGACTTGGTGAAGTGCCGGCTGCAGGTGGACCCTGACAAGTACAAGAATGTGATGACTGGCTTCAAGGTGTCAGTGCGCGAGGAGGGCATGCGAGGACTCGCTAAGGGCTGGGCCCCCACCTTCATTGGATACTCCCTACAGGTTATATATGTTTATTTAAATTCTAATTATATGGAAATGACAAATTATATAAAAATGCTTATTACAGTTTTTGAAAATAGATAAGTTTGTTTCATAATTTAAAATTGAAATTTTACAAAATGTTTATAATTTCTCATTTCCATTGAATTTTACTATGTTTTGTATGATTTGGTTTTTTATGTTTGATTTGGTTTAAATATTTTAATTTTTAAATGCTTTTAGAGACAGGATCCGTTGTGTGTGAAGTGCATAAATCAAATAATACATTTTAACCTTACATAAGCAAGTTTAAAACTTATTATTTGCTTATTTTGGATGAGAGAGTAATATTTTGTTAGCATGCAAGATTGTTTTAGTACAATGGCGACTCTGCTTAGTCCTTTTCTCCTTAGTCAAAGTTATAATAAAGTGATGAAATAAATTTAAAAAGTAATATAAAATAGACATTTAAAAATGTAAATTGCTTGTTAGATTTGAAAGTGAAATAAGTTGAAAGAGAGAGTGAGAAGAAAGTATGAGTTCATAATTTTCCTTTAGTTTATATCACTGGTTAGATTGTAAACTAAGGACATCTTTTCTTTTTTATTGTTTTTTTTTAAATATGTTAATATTCTCAATGATTATAAAAAAAATAATCCAATTGTTCCTTCTGATTGGTAATTGAAGACGATTTAATGTATGATGGTACGTCTAACTAAAATGTAGGTAATTTGTATAGAATAAAGTTGTAATTGTGTTGTGACCGCAGGGGCTGTGCAAGTTCGGTCTGTACGAGGTGTTCAAGGTGACGTACTCCGGTATGCTGGATGAGGAGACGGCGTACTCGTACCGTACTTTCGTGTACCTCGCGGCGTCCGCCTCCGCGGAGTTCTTCGCTGATATCGCGCTCTCCCCGCTAGAGGCCGCTAAGGTACGTTACACATGACATGCCCGGTTGACACTTGACCGTAGGTTACACATAACACTTTTAGGCCAAATCACACTTGACCGTAGGTTACACTTAATACTTTCAGGCCAAATCACACTTGACCGTAGGTTACACATAATACTTTCAGGCCAAATCACACTTGACCGTAGGTTACACATAATACTTTCAGGCCAAATCACACTTGACCGTAGATTACACATAACACTTTTATGCCCAGTTCACACTTAGCCAGTACAGTAGGACAGTTATACTGGCCAGTGAGATATGACTCAGTGGCGCCGTTTAATTTTTTATTTAGTATTTACAATATACCAGTTGCCAGTCCAGTTATTAATCTCTAGGGACAAGTGTGAACCGAGCATTACTCATTTCTCGTCAATGAATGAATGAATGTTTAAAATCTTATAAATTACTATAATAATGAGATTGATAATGATTGAATTCATAAAAAATCAAATATTTGTGTACTATTCCTTTATACTATGGTAAAAACACTTCTTTGTGTATTTGTATTTGAAATATCTATTTAAATGCTGATTTATGCAATTTTGATCGATATTTGCCCGATGATGACAACTGTTACTGGAGGGGGGCTGCGGCGCGGTGGAGGGTGGTCCGGTGACGTCAGATGTCGCTCTGCCCCGCGGGTAGCGTGTTCCACCTTCAACCGCTCTGCAGAAGTGCCCTATGATATACAGATTATGAGAGCTGAGGGCATTATAACAGAATTAAAAATATCTATTATTCTATACTAATAATATGTTATTAAAGTGGAATTATATGCATTTTTTATATGTATTTATTTCAAGTTAAAAACTCAGCTTAAAAATTTCTTACCATTGGAAAGATAACTTATCTGTTAGTAACATAGGTTAAGTTTTTAATTATTATTTTAATTTCAAACGGACGAAGTCGCGAGCAACAGCCACAGCTTCACAAATAAATGCGGTATTAAATAAACTTAGCATTAAAGAGAATATAAGCAATATTTGCTTATATCCTAAGTTTAACTTTATGCCGCATTAAATTAATGAATTTATATAAGATTATTCAAATATCTAGCCGGTTGACTGCATAAACCTACGCCTACATTGTATAGACTTGCGATGTTCCCGACAACATATTTGAATCGTAGTATACATGTGTTTGTGTTGTAAATTCCAGGTCCGTATCCAGACTATGCCGGGCTTCGCGTCGTCGCTGCGCGAGGCGTGGCCCAAGATGGTGCAGAACGAGGGCTACGGCACCTTCTATAAGGGTCTGGTGCCGTTGTGGGGTCGGCAGATTCCCTACACCATGATGAAGTTCGCCTGCTTCGAGAAGACATTGGAACTACTCTATAAGGTAATAAATGTATTTTATTTTTTTGGGTAGAATAGAAATTCACATAAACAGATATCAATCGATTTGTAATAAATTACAGTGAATAAATTAATAAAATAAATAAGTATGTGATTACATTTTTTATGTAAGTTTTTGGTAATTTTTCTTATTAATTCGACGTTACTTAGTTCAAGACTAAAGTAATAGACACTTTCGAAATTCATTATAACTTGCAATCCAGTCACATTACTTCTATTTTGGTATAGGAAAAAAGTTGTAATTGTTTATTTTAACAATTTAAATGATACTAAAACATGTATATAAAAAATAAGATAAACAGGTTATATTTTAGATGTGGACGGAGTCGCAGGCAACAGGTAGTGCGTTTGCGAGTGTAATATAAATGTGTTCCAGTACGTGGTGCCGAAGCCCCGCGAGCAGTGCACGAAGGGCGAGCAGCTGGTGGTGACGTTCGCGGCGGGCTACATCGCCGGCGTCTTCTGCGCCATCGTCTCGCATCCCGCTGACACAGTCGTCTCCAAACTCAACCAGGTTCATTTTTATTATTCCTGGTACAAATAAGTGGTAATTAATAATTCTGTTCATTAGTTTTTTATTTTAAAGTTGGTTTTGATATCGTGTTTACAGTAAAATATTTAAATATAAACTAACGTAAATGAACTGTGTATTGTCAACAGCGACGCCATATTAGATAAGCCACTCGCTTCGACCAATAGTGTGCGTTTCAAAACTAAGAGAGGGAATTTTAAAAAAGACACTTTAATGATTAAATTTTGCCACTAAATCACATTATATTAAAAAAATCTTTGCAGGAATGTTTTATAGTAATAAAGTATACTTAAAAAAGTTTGGTACAATTTGGCGTCATATGCATATTGCCTATTGTCATCATGTCACGTCAGATGTATGGATCTGAATATTGGGCAGTAAAAGGGGCGGATGAAAGGAGAATACATGTGGCGGAAATGCGAATGTTAAGATGGATGTGGTGTAACACGATTGGATACGATACGAAATGAGTATATTAGAGGAAGTTTGAGAGTAGCCTCAGTGGTTGAGAAAATAAGGAGTAAAAGGTTAGCATGGTAAGATGTTATGAGAAGGGATGAATCGCATGTAACAAGACTGACGTTAGTTATGAATGTGGAGGTACACCGGTAGAGGTAGACCTAGAAAGAGATGGATGGATTGCGTGAAAGGTAACATGATCAAAAAGTGAGTGATGACTGAGATGACGTATGATAGTTATTTGGAGGACAAAAACCTGTTGCGCCACTACGGGAGTAGGATGATGATATTTAATTAAATATATTGTTTTGTGTTTGTAGGACAAGACAGCGACTGTGGGGTCTATCATGGGCAAGCTGGGCTGGGCGGGCGTGTGGAAGGGACTCGGACCCAGGATCGTCATGATCGGTACACTCACCGCACTGCAATGGTTCATCTACGACGCTGTCAAGGTATACTTTTATTTTTTTATATATATCTACGGTCTAAGACTATAATTTCCTACCCATAGGCACAAATAATTTATACTAATATGATAAAGAGGATTTCTATTTTTGTATGTATTGTAATAACTTAAAAACTACTGGGCCGATTTTAAAAATTCTTTCACTGTTAGAAAGGTAATTTATCTGTGAATATAGGATACTTTTTATTATTTCTTAATTTCACGCAGACAAAGTCGCGTTCAGTAGCTAATCTAATATAAATCATTTTTTTAATCATCTTGTCTCCGTCTGGCCGGCTTTTATATATACACTAGCTTTCGCCCGTGACTTTTGCCGAGTGAAATTAAAAAAAAAAAACCAAAATGTATTCTTATGTCTTCTTCCAGATTATCCTTTACATCTATATTAAATCTCATTTAGGCTACAAACTCTAACAAACATCCATCCATCTAAACTTTCGCATTTATAATATAACTAGCTTTCGCCCGCGACTCCGTCCGCGATGAATTAAAAAACACAACAATGAGTAGAGGATAGTCTGGAAAAACTACATCTATACCAAATTTCATCGTAATCCGCTACAAACTAACAAACATCCATCTAAACTTTCGCACTTATATTAGTATGATTAAGTATTAAAGATACATACTATTAAATAAATGATATACTAAGAATTAAATTTAATTATAGGTATGGCTGCGTATGCCGCGACCGCCGCCCGCGGAGATGCCGGAGTCGATGCGCAAACGACTAGAAGCGGAAGGAAAGTAAATACACTTGAAAACTCGCACAAACCCATGCACAAAACATATATTCCATTATTTAGACTTGACATGTACACGACCCTTGTATTATAACTTTCACATTTATAATAAACGAAGCTTCGAACTTACCGGTACTTTCTCTGAAAGTTACTAAATCAAAGTTTAATATGTAATTTTAACAAATTATAATAAACCCCATTTTTTTGTTATAAAATATATATTTGAATCTCTTTGGTTATAATAGGATATGTCCTTTTTCATCTGTTATAAATCGAAAAGCCACATTTAATTATCTATTTTAATTGTAAATCTCGTGAATTATCTCATTTTTATATATTTTATTTTTGATTTAATAATTATTTTAATAGAAATAAGTAGAATGAAAAAAATATGACTTGTTCTTATGAGTTATAGAAGGTATATAAAAAATAATTTTTTAAGTTACTTTTCTTTGTTAGAATTATTTTATAAATACTTTCAAATATAAGAATAATGTACTTGTATTGAATAAGTTACCAGCGGGAATAAACTTCAACATACATAGGGTCATACGCAAACTAGATAACTTTTTTTTTCATACAAATGTGCATGGAATTCTTCGATAAATACGAAGAATCATAATAAATAAGAACTTAGCCTGTTTCCGTAGTGTACTGTATAGTTTCATGTGATTAATGTATTTAAGGAATCATGTTAAATTATTTCGAATAAATGATTTTTTTTCTTATGTATTCATTTTTTATTTATTTATGAAACACCTAAGAACATGTACAAGGAGTGTTAATTATGTGTGAAATAAAAACGCCAATAGTTCCGAGATTTTGTTTAATTTTAATCCCTTTATTAAACCGACTAGCTGCTCCCGTGCGGGTTCATCCGCATGAAATTATGAAAATTTTAATTTAGTGTTCACATTTGTCAAATTATCAATTGCAAATGTCAAAATAACATGACATGACAAACCTTGGCAATCTTACTTTCTTGATGTTGGCAACAACTTATGGTCTCTTTCCCGCATTAGGGTTTTTACCCAAAATATTTACCCCTTAAGTTTAATGGCGTGTAAATACATAGCGTGACGTAAGTGTAGGGCTCTTTATTAAAAAAGGAATTATTCAAAAATATGCTGTGATTGCTGACATCTTAGGCAACAAAGAAGTGTGTGTTTACACTTTATTTTAATGGTATACAAAAAGGCGGAGGGTTTTTATACATAAAATTAAAAACATAAGTACGACGATAGTACGTATTGAAAAGAATATTGGTAAGTAAATGATATGAAAACTGATGGAGGCAAAAGACCAAACTTCATAAAAAATGTTCAAGTACATTTACAAGCAAGATCTATAACAAAAAAATATATCAAACATAGTATATTTATTACCTTTTAGATTTTTTAATTCCGCCGATATGAAGTCGCAAACAATAGATAGTTATGATACATTTGACTTCCGCTAATAAAAGTTTAGTAAACTAAGTTAAACAATTAGTTCATTTCATTTATTACTACACTAGATGGCGCTATTCTCAATTGTAAAAAAAAAATATTATTTCTAAAACAAGCGGCCCCTTGGCATTTATTTTTAACTATTTTGTTACAATATTTAATATTAAATTACAAATAGGAAACGATTGAAAAACTAAAGAGTAGATTTTTTACGCGAACGAAGTCGCTAGCTAGTATTTCATATAGCCAATGTAAAAGAGATAAGTTAGCTTTCTAAAAAAGTCACGACGCCTAGTTAAAAATATCGGCAAAGATAACAAATTTAAATTTTGCATGATTTCAACGAAACAAATTAATATTATTATTTTCTAATATTTTATACATGTTTTGTATGCTACTTTATATGAGAGGTGCAATATTTTGTATGTCTTAAATGTTTTTGCTTTTGACAAAAAAATAAACTCTTCAATCAAAATATTAAGAAATTTCCTTTTGGCGTCTACAGATGAATTTTTAGGATCTTAATTTTTTTAAACATAGCGTAATTTTTGTTACTAAACATTACTTTTAACTCGGTTTATTCATTAATTTCTTCATATCGTACATGTTATAATATCAAAAATAATCAAGCGCTTAGAGTGGTTCCTTTCATACTGCTGTACAAATTTAAATTTATCATAGACGTTGCGCTTTTTTCTTTACGCAACATCTGTAATACGCTGAAAACCTTGTAAACGAGTCTGTAATTATATCGTAATGGACAATTTATTTTAAATGTTTTAGTTTTTTTTTGCATTTCGAGAAACAATAGTTTTATTGCTTGCAGCTGCGACGACAGCGGAGAGATGCATTAACCCTCTCCCCCCGCGGAGCCCGCCGCCTGCGCACCTTGGCCAAAAAATTGTTTACTTAGTTAAATTTTTTACGCCCTCGCGAAAAGACGTTCAATTGTTGTATTTGATTTAATATTTAAAATTATTTTAAAATAATATCTTATGTTTTGATGTGTCTGAATATGTTAAATTTTACTTGTTATTTATTGTGCGTAGGTTCCTTAGTTTTCAATATTGCTGGCAGAGATGAAAAAATGGTGACGATTTGGTAAGTGATCTTTTAATTTGTCTAGACTAGATGCTGATATTCATGTTGAATTTATTTTACTTTTCTTTAACTTTTAAATTACTGAATCGATGCAGAAAATAATTTCTATGTACTTGTATTTGATGTGTTTATGTTAAATTTTAAACATTTTTCCAAAATTTCCTAGCCAACTTAGCAGTTAAGTTTTTAACTGAGGATTGTGTATTTTTGTTAATCTATCTTATGTTTTATGTATTTGAGACAAAATATTGATTTTGTGTTTATTTGCAACGGTCGCCATTTTGTATTTCAGCATTAGCCCGATTTTTAAACGACGACCATTACTCTACATTTGATAGTTTGTCTTTAATTCATTTAATTGTTTTAATATTACTTTTAAATGTTAATTTGTTTAATTTGGCAAATTTTTATACTCTTTAAAAAATTTAATCGTAAACATCTTTCAGAAGTTTAGTTTTCGTCACAACGAAAATCGTGCATTTAATACATATATCATACATTAAAGTCTAAACAAAAATATGAAAATCCTGGCCTGAGCCGACCTAATTCGGTGGATTGTCTTACATCACTATCTAAGTACAAAAAAAGTAGTAAAAAGATTAGTTTTATAATTTCCCGCAACATGGCGCACGCGAGTTTTCATATTTCTGATCAGGCTATACAAAGTTATTCTTACATTCTCCTCGATCGAATTTCAAACACAATTATAACTAAATGCCACAGACAGTGCTATTTTTTTTAATTGATAATTTAAATCAGTAATTTGTTACTTATATCAAAAATTGAATATTGCTAACAAAACATCTTGATAAATGGAAACGCTTTAACCGTCACAGCGCCATCTATTAACGTGTAGTGAAAAAACAACATCCTCAAAGCTCAAATTTCTTAACAGTGCAAAATAAGCTTTTTTCGTTGGCGTTAAAGTTTAATAACGTAGAATTCGATCATGCACTGCCTTTGTTTGAACGCACACTTTACGCCATGACAATATCATAAGCTGGTTCGCAATAGTTAGTAATTTAGGAACTAAATGTGTCGAAAAAATTAAAATTTAGTCAAGTAGATTAACAAGAGAATACCCGTCGTTTCAATTAGTTCACGTTTAATTTACAACACAAATAACATCTCTCATTCGTGTACTTCATTAAGTGAGAAACGCGGAAACACAGTTTCAAATAGATTTTAGGTTCTACATCCTTCAAGCCTTATTATACCATAGCGGCGCGGATTTACAACTGAGACTAAACTGTACTCAATTTGGAAAATACAGAAACCGTTTTCGCAATAAATGAGTTTGCGACCAAACAATATAAAGACTGCACTAATTTTCTTATGTTTATTAATATAAAAAAGCGATTAATACTACATCGTTGAAATCGACATATCAGTTATTTATATCGGTGTCACATATTTACAAACCATAATATTAGTATTGAACATTGTCAGTATGGTCGATAAATTCTTAAACCGACTAGCTTTTGCCCGCGTCTTATGTTATTAACAGTTACTTAAATATTATATTATAAATAGTTTTGTGCAACTAAATTATTGTAGTGGTCATTAGATAATCAATAGACATGTAACATTAGTTGTAAAACTAACCTTGAAATAAATATAATATGGCCAAAATAGTACGCAACGCCTACTTAAAAGTATCGGCAAAGATAACAAATTTACATTTTGCATGAAAGAAAACGCTTTAAACGAAATGAATGAATTTTGTCCTTGTTTTTATACATGTTTTGCGTTTATGGAATTATAGTTTCTGTAAGTCTTGTTTGCCAAATTGATTAAACTCTTGAACCAAAATATTAAGAAATTACCTTAAATCTGAAGAGAATATATTTAAAACCACTAACTTTTTTAGAATTAAACTAGTCATTTTTGTTATAAAACTTCTATTTTAATAATTCGATTTCTTCAGAGCATACATTTTAAAATTCTGAAGATAATCAAGCGCTGAGAGTGGTTCGCTTCATATTGCTGTACAAATTTAAATTTAGAACGTTGCTTTTTTTCTTTACGCAATATTTGAAATAAGCTGATAAACTTGTAAACGAGTCTGTAATTATATCGTAATGGACAATTTATTTTAAATATTTTAATTTTATTTGCAATTCGAGAAACATTAGTTTTATTGCTCGCAGCTGCGACGACGGAGATGATTAACCCTCTCCCCCCGCGGAGTCCGCCGCCTGCGCACTTTCTTTGTCCAAAAAATTGTTTACTTAGTTAAAATTTTTACGCCCTCGCGAAAAGACGTTCAATTGTTATATTTGATTTAATGTTTATTATATTTTAAAATAATATCTTATGATTTGATGTGTCTGAATATGACAAATTTAAATTTTACTTGTTATTTATTGTGCGTAGGTTCCTTACTTCTCAACGTTCCTGGCAGAGATGAAAAATGGTGACGATTTGGTAAGTAATCTTTTGATTTGTCTAGACTAGACGCTGATCCTGTTTGTTGCCGAGTTTATCTATTTTTTCTTTGTCTTCTGAATTACTAAATTGATGCAGAAAATAATTTCTATGTACTTGTATTTGATGTGTTTATGTTTAGATGTGAGATATTTTCCTGAAAGCTCCTAGCCAACTTAGCAGTTAACTTTTCAACCGAGGATTATGTATTTTTCTCAATTATCTTTATTTATTTATGACAAAATTTTAATTTTGTGTTTATTTGCACCGGTCGCCATTTTGTATTTCTGTAACGGCCCGTTTTTTAAACGACGACTATTACTCCATCGTACAATAGTCCGTCTTTAATTCATTTGATTGATTTAAATTTATTTTAAAACATTTTTATCTTAAATTTGTATTAACGGAAACACGTAATAATTGGCGATTTTGTACACTTTTTAAAACATGTAATCGTTAAATTCCGCCGCAAGGAAAATCGTGTCTAAAGTCTAACCGAGAATATTACTTTCAAGTACTAACGCAAAAAGATTAGTTTTATTTTTTCCCGCAATATGGCGCGGCGCGACGCGGGTTTTTATGTTTCTGGTCAGGCTTTACGACTCGATCGAGGTGGTTTTTTCTTTGAAATAAATTACGACCTCAAAATAAACTTTCATAACAATATAAACGACAGCATATATTATTGAATTATGAAAATTTTAGAAAGGCATGAGTTACTATTGTAAAGCCATTTAATTAACCTTAGCCCTTAGT